CAGAGTGGGTCGTGAGCATTCAGGTCGCCTAAGATTATTGTGTTAGGTAGTGCAAGTAGATTGGCTATCGATGCTTTGAAGTTGGCAGGGCAGGAACTTTGAGGGGGTATGTAGATGTTGATGAAGTTCAGGTCGGAGTTGAGAGCTTTAATCATGATGGCTTGACTTTCGATTGTGGCGTTGTCTGGGAGTTTCGTTATGGTGAACGGGATGGAGTTGTGAATCAGCATCAGCAGTCCGCCACCTTGCTTGGCTGTTCGGTCTTTTCGGTAGATGGCGTAATTGTGGAATTTAGGATCTTTGGCTCGGGCGGTGAGTTTGGTTTCTTGTATAGCAGCAATGTGAATGGAGTGGGTGTTCAGGTGGTGTTCCAGTTCGTCTTTTTTGTTCCGAAGACCATTGCAGTTGAATTGAAGAATTTTCAGCTTTGATGTTGCGGCGCTAGCAGTGAATGTGAAAGAAGCAGTCAGGCATGGTGGAATTCGAGGCGTCGGCTGTCGGCGGTTCAACGCCGGGCACGGTGGAATTCGAGGCGGTCCGGGGTTAGATTCGATGCCGGACATTTGAAGAAGAAGCCGGAGCAGCCTGGCCGGCATTGGCTGCTCCGGCGGCGAAAACCCATCGGCGCGTCGGCGGGGGAGGGGTTGACGCAGCAGTTTGCTGGCGACACAGGGCCACCAGTCGGCTCCACCACGGGAAGGCTGCTGCTCCAGGGCCGTAATCCTCTATTGATTCGGTATGCTGAAAGACACAGTCTTGGGCTTTTCGTTTGCTTACGAGAGAATCGCATGTTGTCACAAGGGTTCTCGCCAACGAACTAACAATGGAGTGCTGTAATAAACGTGCTAGCCCTTTAACACAGGGCCATAGGAGGGAACACGGGAGGGTGAGCAGTGCAGCCTGTCTACCTCCATGCGAGGTGGGGTAGAGGATGTCTTCCCCTCTACCCTCTATCCCCTTCCCCTCTTCCTCTCTATGGCTCTATGGGGTAGACAAGGGTAGCCACTTCAAGCCAGAGATTTATGAGCGTACGACACTTTCAACGTGCTCAGCGCAAGCATCCAATGAAAATGTGAAAAGTCCTGTTTAGCAGTGATGAAAACATTTTTTGGTTGTGAATATTTACAAAATGGATGTTGATTCTGACATGTATTTAGTAACATCAGATAGAGAATAAATAGAACTACACGTTAACGTCTCAAAAATTTCGATAAGACGCCGGTTTAATTAACATCGAGGTACAAAATTATCATCTATCATAACTGGTGTTATACAGGGTGAACCAGAATTAAGTAACCCATTTAATTTGTTAATAAATAAAAAACTAAGAACGTTATGAAGTTGAAACTTGTTTTATTTAAAAGAAGAACATTTTTATGGTAATATTGTAACCTAGTTTTTAAATATAATATATTTTAAATGCCCACCACAATTGTTTTGACAAAATAGGGCTCTTCTCTTCGCTGCTTTCATAACCTTCATTAGTAATTTCCCGGTATCCGCAAATTTTCGATAAAGAGATTTAATTGTTTTTTTAAAGGACTGATTCTTGTTTTGAAATGGATCCTGTAATCACGTTGAACTTCTGTTATTGACATCGTCCTGATGTAGGTTTGCAGAATTTTCGTTCTTTTTTCTTTGCTGTAGCGAATCATGATGAAAATTTAAGGCTTGATAATTAAACACAAATTTAGCAAGCTATACAGGATAATGACGTAACTATGATACAATATTACCATAAAAATGTTCTTTTAAATAAAACAAGTTTCAACTTCATAACGTTCTTAGTTTTTTATTTATTAACAAATTAAAAGGGTTACTTAATTCTGGTTCACCCTGTACAAAGCTTACATATTTTTTGTTCCTTTACACGGATTGTAAATAAATACCTAGATAAGTATGGAAAATTTCAGATCGTCATCTCATTTACGAGTGGAGTAAAGTTCACCCTAATTAGTGAAGAACTGCTTAGGAACCTGTCCGGGACCTCGCGGCTCTCATGCACCACCTTAAGGAGGGATGTGCCCGTAGTTCAGCATCTGCAGAGGTATGTTCTAGTAGCGTGTACTTAATTTTACTGAGTTTACAAGTGTTGAAAAATCTGTTACTAGATCCCAAGTTAATTTATTTCTATTTTGAGATAAGGTGCAATTATTTAAGTTATTAAACTTAAGCCAGACTTTGTTTCTTGTAGGGAATCGACCGTATATCTGGGACACTCGTGAGTCTCAGGCGATTTGGGTCGCTCGAGAGTGGTTCGTGATTAAACTCAGAAGCAACTTGAAAACCTCATTGTAACTGAAATAAAATAATTAGTAATAACGATGTAAAAAAAGCTGATAATTATTGACTACAGTTCACCTTTCTTTGCGCCTCTAATTTATTTTAATCAGTTAACAGTTATTTTCATGACAAATTGTCTATAAATATTTATTTTTTGTTACTAGGTAATTGCTTAATAAATCCATCTTTACCGTAAAATTTCCACGTTTTCATTTTGAAAATTTGCATAGGCAATGTGGTTGGCAAACATTGTTCTCTATAGTGGACCAATTAAGATTTGATCCGCAGCTTACTTATTCACCCAACTGAGCGACTTGATACGCTTTGCGGTCGTCTACAATTCTGGCGGATTGTATACAGACACCGACAACTTGGCGCTGCGACCGTTCATAAATACTTCAAAAAATTTCTTCCAATCTCAAGTGAGTTTTCATGGTCTGTTTGTTCACTGCATTGCGATTCTAGATGGTTTACTTCAGCCCATAAAAGATGCATGATTACCGAGCATAATTTCTCATTTATGTTCACTCAATAAGATTCGAACATTAATTCACTATCTTCGATAGAAGAATGCTTGAATGAATCGACCTCACAGATATTTTTCCTTAGAGAAGCGAAATTTTCGGAAAATTAAAAGATGGTGTGAGAGATCAGATAGGTCATTGGGCAATCTTTAGTTTATAGTAAAAATGCAATTGAAAATAGTAAATGTGAAAATTCCTTAAAAATCAGCTTGTGTTCGCGATAAAAAAAGATGTATCATTCATGTTTTTCCCGTCTATTGATTAATTTTTAAATTGGATTTTTCAATTGCCCCGTTTTCAAATATACAGGGTTTAGGCAAAATAAGGGAAATACCTAACATTTTAAAATCGTAATTTTTGAACATGTTATAAACAATGAAAACGTGACATCTTTTATGTTTCATTTTTTATTGTTGCTGCTAATTGATATTTTATTCTTGCACAGATAATTTTTATTTCTATAACCTAACCTTTAACCTATAAATGGCCAACCTCTCCGATTTTCAATGAGACCAAATTGTTGGTGCTCGTATGACAGGTGTTAGTGTGACAGAAACTCAACCCGAATTCTTGGCGTCTGTAGAGGTACTGTCTCAGAAGTAATGACTGCTTTTGAAAGAAAAGGAAAAACGTCCTCAGCAAAGCTCAGGTCTGGCTGAAAGTCGAAGTTGTCTGTGAGACATTGTATAGGGGCCTAAATCGAATTGCGAGGGATAATTGAAAGACCATTGCTGTTAAAATTACTGCCGACCTCAATGGACACCTACAGAACCAAGTTTCCTTAAAAAACCTACACCGAGAACTGCACAGGTCTGCATCCCATGGAAGAGATGCAATTAGAAAACCTCTGGTTTCAAATACAATTGGCTCAAAGCGTTTAAAGTGGCATAAAAACCTCCAGAATTGGTCCCTCGAGCAGTGGAAAAATGTGAGACAGGGAGAAATATGGGAGACAGCTACAAGAGTATTTAATTCCGACTGCCTCCTTCGCACCGCAAAAAACTGGCGGGGGATCTGAGTTGATATCTGTTGCACCCCAGATATCTAGGGTGCTATTTTTTCGAAATCAGGCGGACCAATGATTTATCTTCATGGAAAATTCAACAGTCGTGACTATTTAGGAATTTTCGAGGACCAAATTCATCCAATGCTTCAAGCACTGTTTCCGGAGGGGAAAGCCAGCTTCCAAGATCATAATGCCCCGATTCATACAGCTGGAATTGTTAAAAATGGCACAAGGAACATCCTAATGAAGTTGAAAAGCTCATTCGGCAAACACAATCGCCAGACCTGAATATTAACGAGCATTTATGGTCGATTTAAGAGATGCAACTCAGAAGTCGATTCTCGCCGCCATCATCTTTAAAATTGCTTTGGGGAGTTTTCACTGAAGGATGGATTAGAATTCATTTGGAAACCATTCACAATTTGTATGAATCAATTCGTCGGAGAATTGAGGATGTAACTGCCTCAAACGGTGGGCCTACACCACACTGAAATATATTTTGTGGAATACTCAGGTGTTTCCCTTATTTTTTCTAACTCCTGTATAGTGCCTCTAGTAGTCACAATATGTTTTTTTCAGTTGTGCTTTTCGAGTTGACATTAATTCGAGAAAATAATAAAAAAATGTAAAGCAAGATCATTTCTTACATGACAGTAACTCGCGTTTTCAGCATAATTATCTACCGTTTTGTCTGCTGGGCAGGACGACATGGCTCGTTTTCCGAGCAATTCTTTGTTTCATTTCGAGCGCAACCATCCGACGCCGAAGAAGTTTTTGACACTTCTTTCGGACACGCTCTCTCCTGTGCTGAGTGTGAGCGTACATAGAACAGGCGGTGCTTTCTGTTTGTGTAGAAGCTATGAGCACCGAGCAGGGTTCCATTGTTACATTATCGGTTGAATACATGATATCCCCTTTCATGTATTTGCCACCAGAGGATATTAGTGTGTTTAAGGTTGATGTTGCATCAGATAAAAATGACTTTTCTTATTATGAACTTAATTGTTAGGATCTAATAACATTTCCTTTGAGTACAGAGACTTCTTATTATTGTCGAATATATTTTTAGCGGAAGCTGAAGCTCAGAGATGAATATTCTTACAAAATTTCGATGAATAATTCACATGCACGGAGCAAATTTTAGTAATTAGGCTTTTTACAATTATCAATTAAAGAATATACATTCTCTTGTAAATTGTTCACACATTAATGGGACTAACGGCCCGATTCTTTTCATTCTTCCATTTCTGCTTCGGCAGCATTTCAATTAAGGTATTTTTCCCCAGAGGCTGTTGTATGGCATGCTGGGCCCGCTCGCCCTCATTAAATTTTTCCGGTACGACGAGTGCGCCATCAGGATCCTGACTCCCCAGAACGCTCCAGCTCGGCACCCCGCGCCTTCTGATCTCATCGGCCCACGCTTGTCTGCTAAAAAAGGTGAGAGGCGGAAATCTTTTATTATCATTGATTTGAGTCATAACGTTACCAAGTACGCATAGATACTACCTTGTAATCTTCCGGAACTTGTTCAAGCACGAGATCCTAGTTAAATATTGGTGCCGGGACCAACCACGGCCGCATGATAACTTCAGTTGAACTGTGGTGTCGTATAAGGACAATTGCGGTATTAGGATTGCATGAAGGCTTTGAATCAGCTGGGCTGTGTCTCGAGCAACACTGCAGTGAGCGGCTATTGCGCGGCTGCTATGCGACGGCTGCGGCTATGCATTCAAAGGCTCGGTGGCGTCTTCCATGGCCGTTTGCCAGCACGCTCGAGAATGTCCATGTGGTCGGGTGCGTTTATACTGTGTCAGGCATTACACCAGCACAGAAAATACTTATTTCCTGTAAGGCTTGATTTAACTGCTTCCTGGAGCGGCCCCAGTTAAAATGCGATTTCGTTTCGGAGACAGACCTTGGGTTATCGCCTGAGGTATTGAAATGATTTGATTTGAGGATCGATTTCAATTCAACTCAAAAGCATTGTAAGTATTTATCCATCTGGTATTGTATACGATGCCTGGAACGAAGGGGAAAATTAGTCCCAAATGACCCCAGTCTTACTGGGCAAATGCTAATGCTGATGATGGTCATCTTTGAGCGTTGCGAAGATTTCAAATACACCAGTGATGCGAGATTGAACCCTAAAGATTCCACATTTTGTCAGAGCGTTTTGAACGAGAAACACGGGTGGAAGAAAATTCCTTCGATATATTCGTGGCTTTTTAACTCATTTAGTGCCTAAATATAATGGACTCGGTGGAACGAGTTAAGCTCGTTACCAAATGAAATGATAGATACATAGAATATATCCGACCTTATTACACAACGAGTTGAGAACTATGCATTACGACATTATCAAAGCGAAAGAATCCGAACAAAGCCAAAAATAAACGTAACACGGGAGTCAAGAACAACTATGAGGTCATCTCTTATGTCGGCATACAAATTTCTCGCGGATTACTTGAACCGCAGCTAGGTAATGCAACCTCGTATGGTGAGAAAAGCAACAATCTTCTCAAAAGTCTTCAGAGCAGTCAAAAACTCTAGGCTTGTTTTCTTGCTCTTATGTTCAGATGTGAAAATCTGTATTACTCGTAAATGATCGTAAATAACGAACGCTGGTAGACTTCCTTCATGTAGTTAAATTTAACCGTAATTTCACAGTTCCAAGAACCAAATTAAGTGCATAGCACCTATTTCGTCTCCTTATATATTTTAATTTATCCTTTCTCATTCTGTTTACTCTGCGTCACTTCTTGTTTTTCAAGTTTTTCCTTTGGCACCGCTCCACCAGTTCACGAAAAATACCTGCCTGCCTGAGCTGATATAACAGGAGATACGTAGAATGACATTTCTATCAGTTTACTCAACGAGCAGCATGTAAAATAGATCCTCGTTCATTTCGTTGAAAGGGAATAAAAATGTCTATAGGGTTGACGAGGCTGAGTTGCCATCGTTATAAAAAAGCTTTTGCATTATGGAAGGCGGATGCACACCAACAGTTGATCCGGATTTTTCCATTTTTGCATAGAATGAATGGCTCTTATTAGAAGAAGCTGGTGGCTGATCATCAAAACTGAAACTTCAAATGAGTTTTCTTGTTCTGTTTTCCAGATTCATCCATAAATGGGGAAACGCTTCATGAGGAACATCGCACCCCTGAAAATTTTTCGTACAATTTAAGTTCTGCGAACAAACATGACGATGATGAAGATGATTCGTTCGATTGCATCCATGAAATCTTCGGGACATTTGCTCACCAGCCCGTTTATGTTATGCACTGCCACGCGATGTTCTACCGCAACAAAACGTTAGTGAGACCCGACGATAACGTAAGTTACGATGTCTTACGTACCATAAGTTGTACCACATAGTATCACAATTAAGTGTTGAGCATATAAGGGGTATATGTATATGTATTATATGTATATATATATATATGTATTTGTTAACACACGTGCGATCGATGACCAGAGAATTCGTTGATTTATATTATCAGTGATACATATATAGGTTGTCGACTTCTTCATTATTTGGATTGCATTCGGGAGATTGCAGTAACAACTACGACATTGGACAGCCGTTTCTCCTACCGCAAGAGAAAAGCTCAAAACCAGACAAGGTCTCAAAGTATTACAATCGAGCAGCATCATCTCAAGATCGTCGATGAATTCGACTGGCTCCGTTACGCCCTTAGCAACAAAGTCAAACCCCGGACTATACCGAACAACGGCTCCTGCAAAAAAGCGAGAGTTCTCCAAGAGGCCGGTGTATTCTATAAATTTTACTTCAAAGAAGGTTGTAGACTTCTTCACGTTATGGATTATATTGGAGTTATTGGAGTGACAACTGCGACATTGAACTGCCGTTTCTCCTACCAGAAACAAGCTCACTACCATACCAGGTCTCAAAACATTATTAACAAGCAAGTTCATCTCAAAATCGTCGATGAATTCAACAGGCTTAGTGACACTCTTGACAACAATGTCAAATTCCAAACTATACGCAACAAAGGCCCCTGCAAAAACGCGGGAGTTATCCGAGAGGCCGGTGTAGTCTATAAATTTTGCTTCAAAGAAGGTTGTAGTAGACTTCTTCATGTTTTAGACAACATCAGACAGATTGGACTAACAATCAAGACACCGAGCCGCTGTCTCGTTAGCTACCTTCAAACTGGAGGGCAGGTGAACCACGCGAGACAAGCTTACAACCAGACCGTCACTCGCATTGTGCTGAACGTACTCACCAGCATCGTGATCAAGCAGTGGCCCGACAACAACCGACCGGCGATAGCTGAACCCCTCATCTCTACAGATTGGACTCCAGCTATCTATTATCTGACTACCGAATTTGTCTGAACTCTGAAAGAATTTTCCGAGTAATTTATTGTCCAAAATTTTACTGTTGTATCCTATTTACTTATATTATGTACTTATTTCCACCAAAATTTCAATGTTTAATGCTTCTTCTAACTTGAAAATGAATGTTTGTTGCATTCGAAACGTCGTTAACAAAGAAAAACTACTTTCTGAAACTTGCCTTTTTATCTACCGTCATCTGAAGAAAAGTTCCACTCCCTGATAATATAAACCAACGAATTCTCTGGTCATCAATCGCACGTGTGTAAATATATATATGCAAGTTTGATTGAAGACCAGAGCATGCTTCTTATTAATAATTGTGTATAATTGTATTAATAATTGTCTAGAAACTTAGTTCGAGTCATTGAAAAGACGAATAAGAAGATTATTAATAAGAAGCATGCTCTGGTCTTCAATCAAACTTGCATAAAAGAAAAGCTTCTGCCGAATTATACCAAATATATATATATATATATGTATCTACTGTTCTAATAGCTCAAATTTTTACTTAATTGTGAATACTTAGTGGCAATGAAATAATATTGTTTGTTATTGTACTATTTTTTCGTACTATTTTATAGTACTGCTTATATATATTTATGAATAATCCATAATACATTTAAGATGCCTCTCATTTACCTCTGATTTAACAGATTACAGAGCAGCCGTTTGATTTTTTTTGTCAATTATAATGGGTGTAAAGCGTGATAAAATCGTTGTAATACATTGACAATTATTTTAAGTTCTTTGGATGGGATTTTCGTGTCTTCAAAAAACCATTTATTCGCTCTCCAGTTTATTTTATGAGATATGCTATGCTTAAATAATTCCATGCAATGGTGTTTACAGTATTAGTGACTATAGTCCATTAAAAGTTTTCTTTTAACTGATTGAGTGAATAAAACTTCAAATTCATTCTTAAATAGTTTTGGTGAATTTATATAACGTGATGAAGCCACCCACCTAAAGCTTTTAAATGTCCCTGACTTGATACTACATGGTACTTGCGGTTTTCAGAAATATTACTAGAATTTGAAACCAGAACTAATACCAGGGTCCACGGCATAAGTCTACCACCATAGCTATTTCAACCCTCAATGGACCAATTTTTAGATGCCCTGTGAACAAAGTCACAATGTGAATGAGGGCAAGTATCGGCGCGGCGACAGGCCAATGGCCATAACAGACATATTTTTCAGCTTTAAAATTTAAGTGCCTGTTGAAGTGTTGAGGTGCATAATTATCAAAGGAATCGCACAACATCTTATTAATACTTACAATTATCGAACAATTTTGATTTCCCATCTGTACTATAATATATGTCATAGCTCGGCATAAAATTACTTTAGTTAACCAATGAAAATTTTCATTCAAGATTTCTTGCTTTCATCATACGACATTCGGACCACAACAAGGAATGGACGAGGTTGCATTGCTGCAAATGCAATCTTGCAACACGGAAAAAAGTCGCGAGTCGCGACTATTGGTGAATTGAAATTACTCATGGCTATTATTTTCGTAACTTTTTACATACCTACTTGCCAAGTCTAGAATATTCTTGCAATCTGCAAAGTGTGTTCCTACTAATATAATAAAGTGATTGTTTCGTGAAGTTCATTATACCTAGCCTTCTTTGTTGTGATTTCTAATTTTGTTAATTTTCCGGTATATATTTATAATTTTATATTAATTATATATAAAACTAATATGTGGGTTTTCCTCATTTCATAATTCATTAATTGAAGTTCCAGATATAATTTGTGTGTTTACCTAGTTCCAGAAAAAAATAGTGTTTGTAAAATATTGAAATAGGTACATTCTTATTCTATATCATTATCTTACTTCTGTTTTATTGTAGGCCTAGGTACCTAAATGTAAATGTCAAAATGTTCAACATGTGAATAATAGCCTATCAGTATGACTAGGTATGAGTAGCCAGAGTAGGTACTATGTCTATGAGCAACAGTCATCTTCTATTTAACACTGACAAATTGCCAGGCCCTGGCTTCTCTGCTCTCTGGAGACGGAGTCTGGAATGCACAAGTATCATCTTGGTTTGAGGCTTTGAGCTGTGATATAAAAGCTGTAACTGTAAAGTCACTAAAGTGAAAGCCCTTTGGTCCTTTTGGGATAAAAATGTCAATTGCCTTTTGTGCTATCATTTACAAGCATAGGGTAAACGCGGTATATTCCGACACTCATAGTGGCAAACTAGAGCTTTTTTAGAATTAGTTCATTTTTAATTTCCTCTTTTACTCAAGATTTAAACCAATTTCTTAAGTATGATAATGCTGGTATCCAGGATACTTTACTGGTCTACTTATAGGACTCAAAAATGAACTTGAGGGAGAATCTAAAAAACTCTCTGCTTTGCCACTATGCCGACCATGGTGTCATTATATGGTAATTATATAAGAACATGAGCTTTTGGCAAATTGCACCGCAACGAAAATGTCGGACCGCCGCAACACGTGTCACACCTCACCTCACGACGATGTGTTCATGACTGTCGGAATCCTAATGTAAACATAGCCAGCTGATTAGCAGAGCGAGCGCTGATTGGTCACCACTCAGCAGCCAACTGCCTTCTGTATTCGAACTGTCGGGTTCGCTGAGACCAGGGACGCATGTCAATTTTTCACAATAAATTAAAGAATATGCAAACATATGTATTCATACATAGCTTAAAAAATCGAGAAAAAAATAACAAACATGATGATGACAAATTTACCCTATTTTACGTCTGAAATAAGTCAAAATTCTCGAAAAATCGAAATAAAAAAATACATTGTAAATCTTTTACGAATTACTGCATTGTAATAGTGATGAAGACATTGGTACAATGCTTTAAACATATGCCTAATTNATGTATGACGTCACCATTTCAACCATCAATGAACGCATGGAACTAAAACAAAGCTTAATATAAAGGAAAAACTAGAGAAGTGACGGAATTACCTACGATGTCGGAATATACCGTGTTTACCCTATGTTGATATTCATATCTAAGAGTTTTATGATCATTCACTTGAACAATATATTAATGCCTTTTTGATTCAAAATTATATTGAGGTTGACAAGCCAACCATTTTTCTAGTTATCTGCAAACAAATTTATTTCTTTTTATGACAGTTGCAACTCCAACTCACAAAATTTTCTAAATACATTGTAACCTTCTAATTTTCTTTAATAATTCTTCTAATTTTGAATGGGAATAATGCATTTATTTTCCCTTATTGCAAGAAATTTTGGTTAATGATCACAACAAGTGCATTGATTTTTCAATTATTTGGATAACGTCTCATTTATTTATCCCAGTACACCCTAGTCAGGCACCGCAAATCCCGCTGACACCACACATCCTGCTTTCATCCAAGCGCACCGGTCACTGGTTGGGAGGAGCTACCGGTATAGGAACAGGAAATTCAAAGCCTCTGATTGGTCAGTTAGCCAGGTAGTTTTGATAACACGCTTTTAGCCAAGACTTGCGTATGAAAGTTTTGATAATGCCAAAATTAGGCTGTACATACGTAACGCATACCATAAAATGGGGTAACTTTGACCACTTTTTTTTCAAAATAATGTCATTTTTTTACTAGATAATTTAAACTTAAATTGTTAATTAAAACCTGCAAAATACAGGTCTATAGCTGTATTTTGCTCACCATAAATCTTGGCTCCTGCTCACCAGCTTCAATCACCATAAATTGCTGGCTCCTGCTTCTAATAGTTTTGATGTAATTTCAAAAAAAGTGATGGTCCTTGTTACCCCAGCTCTTGGGGTTTCTTTGACTGGGTTAGAAAATTGATTTTATTTTTTGGTTAAATAACTCCAAATAACTCCAGGTTTTGGTGCATTGTAGTAGAACTTATCTAGTTACAGAGGGAAACGACAAATTTTAGGAAAGTGTCATAGTTTGCAAATTGGGGGCGCCGCCCCCCAATGGGCAAAATGTGACCACCTAATGGCAGCCGTGATGGGGTAACATTGACCGGTTTGGAAATTGAGTTAAAATTACCATATATAAGACTCTGTAGAGTCTGAAACATAAAGAAAAAACATTAATAGGTGTATCAAACATAAAATATGTTATATAGGTACCTATGTTAATTTTAACTTAATTTTCAAGTTGGTCACCACCTAATGGCAGCCCGTCACGGCTGCCATTAGGTGGTCAAAGTTCCCCCATTGGGGGGCAGTGCCCCCCATTTGCAAACTATGACACTTTCTTAAAATTTGTCATTTGCATATGTAACTAGAAGAGCTCTGCTACAGTGCATCAAAACCTGGAGTTATTTTACCAAAATATAAAAAAATTGAAGAGGGTACTCCGACAGGCTTTGAATACAATAGCTCTTTTTTGCCGGTCACATTTTTAATTTTTCAACCTATTAGATATGCAAACTTTTTAAATCTTTCCATTGTGTTATGTTGCCTCAGTATTAGGCCTTTAATGGCCATTGACAAAATTTTTCTATGTCAAATAGTTGTTGATTTTTTTTTTAAATGAAAAGTGGTCAAAGTTACCCCGGGAGTCAAAGTACCCCCATTTTAAGGTAACTTTTTTGTCGTAAGTACAAAAAATTAGGAAGTTGTGATAATCCAGCCCCAGGTGTAACAAGTGGTCATTGTGCTGCTTCTTCCACACCTTGAAGCTGCCAGCAACAAAACCAAAAAATGTTTCAAGAATACGTACTCAATTCAAGATAATTAAGGGTATTTGTCTAGTTGTCTACCAAGCACCATGTAGTGAAAAATTGGATAGAAACCACCCTGGTGACCCATGAGTGAGACTACAATACTTATATATGATATGAATCTGACCAATTTTGCCTTTGCCTTTGGCTGTTCCCATAATAATCCCATGACCTCTTTGGCTCTTCTTAATTTATTTACTGAGTAAGAAGAAACGACAGCCTATTTTATCCTCCAAATTTTGCAAATGTGTGAAACCATCATTTTACAAGCAATTTTTGGAAACTGCCGAGCCTTCTACTTCTGCCAAACCTTCTTTGCTACTTGTATACAGTAACATTCCACACTCAACAGTAATTGGTATAACAGTAATATAGCCTATACAGTTATACTTATGGGAAATGAGACTCAATTCTCAAACCTGCAAGCTAAATTAAAAATGTGTCTTGTATGCCTAATTTGGAATATCAGGCAGAAGTTTCCTAAAAACATTAGAAAACTTGTTACTTGTGTATGCCAATTATTAAAAAAATGGTTTTCTTGAAGTAGAAGTTGATGCAAGAGAAAAATGAAAAGAAGTCAAACGAAAGTACAGTTTTACCATTTCAATTGCTAGAACCAGTCCAGGTAGCAGGAAATGCAGGTTATACATATAGTTGTATAAATTTATTTATACATGGTAATTAGTTTTAGTTGGCAGAATTTGCTGACTTATATGTGAGTGAATAATGACCAGGGAATTGGTTGTATTAAATTATCAGATAGTTGTACAATTCTTCAGATGAGGTTGGTAGATTAAAAGGCATATTTCAGGAAGTAAGTTTTAGATTATCAACAACATTAATAAACTAAATGTGACATGTGGTTCAATTCATTTTTTAAAGTTGATCTATGAGACAAATATTATCAGGTGATAAATTAAAGTGGATTTATTTGTCAGGTGTATATAATATAGTAACTGTGATAAAACATTTTTAATAAATCTTGTTTCAATATAATTATATGACTATTTAGTTTAAAAATTTCACCCTTTTACAATTATATACATTACATGTCAGCAAGATACTGCTTTCATGAGAAAACTGTGGAGATGCATCAATTTGAAAGGTCATGGGCTCGTACTTAGGTTATAGGTATTTTTAAATGCTCTTCCTAATGCTTTTTATGTGTGGTGAGTTTGATCTAATTTTTTTTATTATGGAATAAACAGACAATTGGTGATTGTTGGAGATATGAATATGTAGCAGGAAACACAAAATAAGTTATTTGGGTGTCCATTTGGCATTAGCTTGTAGCCTTGTACCATATGCATTCATGTATACATAAATATATGATGGTCACAAATGTATCCAGAAATAATCTAACATAAATGAACAGAAAAGAATCATTGATAATAGCTTCTTCTTCTTTATAATGGGTTCATCAGCACTGAAGTTCATAGGGTTTGACTGAATATTATTATTATTATCATCTTTAATATTATTATTATCTTCACATGTTAATTACCCAACTATAGGAAAAATCTTTAGTATAAAAGTGAGATGAGATTAAAAATGATCATGTTTTTAATCAATTCTTGGATATGCTTTATATTTTTTATAGTAATTCTTGTTGACATGGAAGTAACATTGAAAACCTTATTTTGTTTCAGATTCTGTTTTTGAGCCTAAATTGAAAAAAGATTTAAAGTCCAGCCACTGAAGTATTTTATTGTATTTGGAGGTGGAGGTCAAAGGTATAATTGCTCACCCTCATTTGGGTGCTGCATCTCATGATGGTGGGACAAGATAATATCCCATCACTTCCAAGTGAGGCTACAACCTCCCTTTACACAACATCCGAGGCACCATTTGGCCCTGGAGTCTCCCTTGTGTCTACTAGGACCAACTCAGCAGTATTTGAACAGGACCCTGAAGCACCACCTGCTTTGGTGCCCACATCAGTGCACTTCACTGAAGTCATAGTCAACTCTTTAATGTCACTATACAACAAAATGGTCTACTCTGCATCTGAAAATGGCTCATGCCAAGCAGACTGTTCTGGTCGAGGAGAATGTCTGAATGGAACATGTTTTTGCTCAGTAAGTTTATAATAAATAGAATATATCATGCTGAATATGTTACATATTGACTTGCCACTATTGCAGCACTGATGATAATGAATTTATTTTGTAAACTAAGCTATGTGATAAAATTATGTTTTATTATTTTTTCAGGTTCAATATGAAGGAGAAACCTGCAATGATCCAAATGTTGCCTACTTTGCCTCTTTTTCTTGCATCTTTTTCTGCATTGCCATAATTTCCTTGGGTCAGCTAATAATGTGCATACGAGCGGAGTACAAAAGATTAAAAGCACCCACTCTAAGGAAAGCCTGCTGCATCACCACTCAGAAAATGCTCTATGTCATCACTTTTGTGGCGGCAGCTCTGCGAGGCGCTTACTTCTCATCCCCAGTGAGTGTTTAACTTGGCATTTTTAAAAATGTAAATGGCAATTATTTACTATTGTGAATGATTTATTATTTTTTGAATAAATATGGAGAGCAGATTGTTGTTGGAGCCCATGATGAGATATTGATTGCTTTGATACTTAGTGTGTGTAGGATTAGGATAATTGATTTTTGTTGGGTTATGAGAATTAACCTATAGTTTCTTATTCTAATTAAATAATTTTGGTTTGTACCACATTTTTACACCTACAGGAAATTATGTATTGTTTAGTTTTGGAAACTCTTTCCTGTTACACATTTTCAATGTGTACAAAGATAATATTTAAATCAAAGAAAGTGTTGAGAAAGTTCTTTAAGGTTGTAATATAAAACTTTTGAGGAATTTAGATCCATTATCACTAATCTGTCAACTTCTCAATCGTGAAATGAGCAAGGCATCAACATTCATTGCATTTTTTATTCAATTACCTAATCCTAATTGATCTGATGGATTATATGCTGGTTTATCTGTAGTTTCATGAAAATATCATTATGTTGCCAGTTAGACATGTAACTTTTATAACTTTTCAGAGCAATGCCGAGCTGATGTTGGCATAGAAAATGTCATTATGTTGCCAGTTAAACATCTTCTATGTAACTTTTATAACTTTTCAGAGCAATGCCGAGCTGATGTTGGCATAGAAAATGTCATTATGTTGCCAGTTAAACATCTTCTATGTAACTTTTATAACTTTTCAGAGCAATGCTGAGCTGATGTTGGCATCAAGTTTCCTGAGCAGCTTTTACCCTATGATCCTGAGTGGAGGATCACTCATCGTCTGCTTCTGGGCTGAGGTATGCATTTTGAATTGAATTTGGTTATATTTTGTCTGACATTTTTGCTAATCTTGTGTTTTTTCTTCTCTAGGATGTTTGAGATTAATTAAATCAGCAATTGATGGCAAATTCCTTTATGGTTTTGTCTATACTATTTAGCAATGAATCATTTTACCTTCTTCATCTCAAACTGTTGCCTAGAGAAATATTAAATGTCACAATTGCCATTAAGGTATAGGTACGTAGGTACCCATGGTTGAACGAGTAGTATAAGGTTGACCCATGAGAAGCTCATTTTGCATTTGTAGTTTGTTGTTTGCCCACTGATCTCAGTGACGTCACGGGCATTAACCATTCACCGAAATGCGATCAAACCAGTCAAAGAATCCGTCATGGGAATGACGGGATTGTTTACGTTTCTCGATCTCAGTGACATAACAAGAAAGCTGAACTAAAAGACAAAAATTCTCGTGGGTCAACCTTGTATAGTTCAACCATGTAGGTATGTAGGTACCTATCGCAACACCTCTTAATGATAGGTAGTCACTATCAGTAGACAAAGGCTTCAATTCCTTGTACTCAGTATGATTGAGCTTTCTACCCAAAGTGAAATGGAATGTTTTGAAAATTCCTCTTTTTGAAGACATTAGCATGTCATGGATCACAATTACCTGGTATAATTTTCACTGGTTTGTTTCAGGCATTTCATCTTAGAAATGTGAGATGTGAGCGCCCACGGTTCCTTGGCAAAAGTTTCCTGGGATTTCTAATCTTCAACGTCATCACCTACTCCCTATTTGCTGCTGAAGTGTTGCTGCAGCGGGGCTCTCCTACTGAAGAAGAGAGGGTAGGAATTAATTTGTGCTCCTAAGATGGTCTGGTTCTTGCATGTGTTGGCTATTCATTTGAATTACTTGAACCATGAGTTAAATGTAAATTAAATTATTATTGAGGTATTTTAGGTAAGGAGAAAACATGTCCTTGTGGAAATGCAAAGGGGTTTAATTTAATAGCTCAAAACAAACGTGCAGGCTGAATTCATCCTTTTGTTTAAAACAAGTTTCACCGTTTCAGTAATGTTGAAGTCTTAAGATGGAAAATTTGTTTTCATTTTCTAATCAATAATGAATTCAACCAACATTTAAGAGCTAACCTCGTTATTAAGTTTTCCTAATTTTTCAAGTTCTGTTAAAGTACTTGAGTTTCAGGTTGCTGCCATAAGCTAGTCATGCGTTAACAATTGTTTATCCCTTGAGCAGAGTTTCCTGGCGCACGTCTTCAACGGCTGCTACGCTGTGCTCATGTTCATCATGGTGGTCTTCTTCCTGATCTATGGCGTGGAAGTCTACTTCAAGGCAAGCCTCATTATTCCTGCCTGTATTCTATGTCTTGAATATCTGTTTCTTTTTACGTTACTTTCATCCTTTTTACTAGCGATATTTTTCTACGCTAGATGTTTGTAATTCTTTTTGTGTTGACAAATCATAATGCTACCAAATAAATGACATGTTTTATTGCTCAGTGTGTGATTACATTGATTGTCTATGTCCATGCAATCTCATGGCGAAATCTCTTGATGATCATGGCGAAAATCATGTCCATGCAATCTCTTGATTGTCTATGTCCATGACGCAATTCCTTGCGTCAAGCAAGAGGCTGATCTTTACTGAAAGGCATCACGGGAAAGTTAATTTGTAGATAGCAGCAGGTTTATAAATTTTGTTTTTCATAAATTAAATTCATTCAGATTTGATTTCTTTAAAGATTTATGCTTTCTATAAAAGTACGCATTAAATTTGTCTTCAATTTAATTTGGGTTAGTCACTGTGAACATCCTCAGCTGTTTTTTGATTGGCAAAAGAAATAATTTTGCTTTGCGTACTTTGATATTTTACCGTAACATAAATATTTTCATACTTATTCCACAATGAGGTTTCTCTCAGTTCACGCCATGCATTTATATTTGCTGGTAATTATATGCACCAAGTTTGTAGAGTGAACATTCGAGCAGATTTTGTAGATTCATTAGAAGAAAACCATTTGTGCATCATTAATTTTCTATCTGCTGTCTCCTTTCTAAAACGGCTCGCTTAATATCATATTGTCATATTTACCTTGAAAAAAATTGTCCCCGAATTTTCTAATATGCTATATATTTCCTATTGAATCTTACTGTTGTGAAGCCTGCAGCTTTAATGAGACGAGTCCTTCAAACCAGTTTCCTCGTTCCAAGTTCAATATATACCCTAAACATAAGATTCTCGTCTATTCTAGTTGTAATTTTGAGAAAACAGAATTAAGTCCCTATTTCTGGTCGCTCAATTTATATTCGCTTCAACTGTCCATTGTTGTTTTGCATTATATTGTGATTGACATCAATTATTCATGGTTGTTGCGTGTGGTGTGACGTGAGTTGCTTTACGCTGTAGGTTCGTGGTGGCTTTGTGAACGATTCGCTTGTGGTCGGGACCCTTCACTCACGCCAGCCGAGCTCCGCGAATACCGTCCTGGTCACCACCACCGTCACCACAGACGCCGACGTCGAGGCTAAGTCCACTACCTGCACTGGACTTAGTAAGCAGCCAAATACATCTAATGGAGGCTTCGAGAAGACCTGTGGAATAAAGAAAGGTTCTGTTACGTCAGCTGATTGCATTGATGCCAGTAGCGATGAAGCTGCACTGAAAGAGAAATCTCTTGAACCGCTACTCAAGCACGCCTGCTCATGCAAATCATTGATGCTCCAAAAGAACGCTATTGCTGCTGCACCTGAACCCAGCGCTTCTGATGAACATGCAGCTGTGTGTCAACAACTGCTTGACAAAACTGTAAGTGATCTTTGTTATTAATTGTCTTGCATGCTGGCTGTGATAACTTGGTCGGAAGAAACATGAATTTAGTACTAGAGCCCCTCCCCTTTGCCGCTTTATATTTAAATTTCTAGTAGGTATACTTTTCTTATTATTAATGAATAATAAGTAAACTAAGTAAACCATTTAACCAAGATAAGTTATGATGCACGCTCATAGCCCTTGTAATTGCTTAATCACTTGTAAAAATTTAACTAGTACAATTTTAGTCTCGTGTTGGCGTTAGCTTGTGTCAAGTTTGAAATATCCCCTCAAAATGGAGTAACTCCATGTGGCGCATCTACTCATCCTGTGGCTTCTATGATGATTTTGATCTTATGTGGGACTGTAAATTGATGGAAGTCTACTTGAAGTGTGTTCATTTCGTGTCTTATAGAAGTAAGTGTATGAAATCATTTTCTATGTTCTAATATCTTTATCTGATTCTTATCAGTAATTATTTTTTAAAAAGATATAAAGCTTCACCAAAAAATGCTGCTGCTAACTTTTAGCAAAATATTTCGTTCCATATTACTGCTCCTTAATACGTACTACGTGTGAGGAGCGTATTAAGCTGTACAATACTGGGTGCAGGTGCGGGTAAGCAGCAGCCCCGGAGAGGAAGATAGCAGGGGCCGAGGTATCGACTACTCGCAGCTAAGCCAGTCGAGGTTCGGGCTCGTCTTCCAGGCGTGCATGCTGATGATCACCGTGTGCTTCCTCTTCTCTGACGTGCTCGGCGGCTTCTGGAAGAACAGGTAACTTGTCTGGCAGATTTTACTGTTCCAGCGATGTTATTGTGAACTGATTTTATAATATGACTCAACTTTCCACGAGCTGATCAAATGGTTCTTGGAAAAAATCATTTTAAAGTTGAACAAATTGTTCTTCATTCCAGTTTTATGTGTGGCCCCAAATGTGTGCAGGGGTTTATGATCCAATTTAAATTTTCATGAATCCTGGTGCATGGTTTTCTTTTCCTGCACATTTTTTATTGTAATAGCAATGAGGATATTACTCAACGGGCTATTGATAGTGTTTCCCAACATGGACCACATACTACAATTTTTTTTTTACTTTATACACCACCTCCTGAATTAGTTTCGGCCACAGCCACACACTGCAGCCACTCTTAACAATGCTCTGTGCCACAGGGTGCCGTTCATGTCCCGTAATGCATACAACATTTCAGCCACTCTTAACAATGCTCTGTGCCACAGGGTGCCGTTCATGTCCCGTAATGCATACAACATTTCAGCCACTCTTAACTATACTCTGTGCCACAGGGTGCCGTTCATGTCCCGTAATGTATACAACATTTCAGCCACTCTTAACAATGCTCTGTGCCACAGGGTGCCGTTCATGTCCCGTAATGTATACAATATTTCAGCCACTCTTAACTATACTCTGTGCCACAGGGTGCCGCTCATATCCCGTAACGCGTACGACATTTCAGCCACTCTTAACAATGCTCTGTGCCACAGGGTGCCGCTCATGTCCCGCAACGCGTACGACATTCTGTTCCGTGTGGTGGAGCTGGGCGTGGCGCTCTGGTTTCCGTGTGTTCTCTGGAACTGCATCGCCCCTGAACAGCTCTGGATACTCAATCCTAGCAAGATACTCAAAAAGATCGATATTGACAAGAGTGTTGAGGTCACTGACCATCATGACGCTGGTGAGTGGAGACATATTTATCCGCAGAAATCTCGGTTTCGAAAAGTATCCTCGTAACTCCGTATAACCCCTAAGCAGATTTTAGGCTCAGTTTTATGATATTAATAAAACACAATGGAATATATGGGACAGATCAGATGGAACCTCGTTCATTCTCATATTTGACCCAAAAATGACGTGATTCCAGTGCCAATAATCCAATTAAGTGAAAGTTCTTTTAGTTTAACCAACCTTGTTTAAGAGTAATTCAATATTATCTTTGTTCCATTTTATGAAAGGAGGTTAACTTTAGCTTAGTAATTTTTTCCATGAAAAATTGCAATTCTATTGACATCAATCTTACGCAGGGTTCATTATGTATCTAAATGAAATGCTAAACATGTTGAACCGATATGCAAATAATTCCGTTAGTTTAAGAATACATTTATAATGGAGGTTCGTGTGTTTCAACATCATTTCGAATAAAAACCAACTACAACATTCCATTTGGGCAATAAAAACGGCAACACAAAGGAATGATGTAGAAAACTTTGTATTTCTTCTTTACCTAAGAATACTACTTAATTATGTACTCTAAAAGTAACCATGACTCAGGCGACATCAAAGAAGAAGACGACACCAGCGTGACGGAGAGCAGCAAGCGCGAGTGCTGGATCTGCTACGACACGGACGCTAACACCGTCACGGGGCCCATGATAGAGCCTTGCTTGTGTCGTGGCGACGTGGCCGCCGTACACCATAACTGCCTGCGCAAGTGGCTTATGGAGTGCGTGCAGAACAACAACATGGAGCAGCTTGCCTGCAAGGTACGGCTTATGGAGTGCGTGCAGAACAACAACATAGATCAGCTTGCCTGCAAGGTAAGGCTTGTGGAGTGCGTGCAGAACAACATGGAGCAGCTTGCCTGCAAGGTAAGGCTTATGGAGTGCGTGCAGAACAACAACATAGATCAGCTTGCCTGCAAGGTAAGGCTTATGGAGTGCGTGCAGAACAACAACATAGATCAGCTTGCCTGCAAGGTATGGCTTATGGAGTGCGTGCAGAACAGCAAGAGGTGGGGCGGGGCTTATAGGAAAAGCTTTGAGTATCTCAAAGTTAGAATGAAATCTGATGGGCTGTTAATATTAAATCATAACTGGCACCTATTGCTGAGGACAAGCTGACCTATCAATTGCCAGAATGCGTGACTTAATCATCTCTGGTTGATCAGGTATGCCAGGCGGAGTACGAGCTGGAGCGCTCGCCGAACTGGTGGATCGGGCAAGGCTTCACGTCTCGCCACTGGCTGCACACGGCGTCGCTGGTGACTGTCATGTGCGCTACCATCGCTGGGGCGTGGACCCTCCTGCAGGTCTACCAGGACGGCCTCATCCGCTCCCTCACTGCCGGCGTCATGCTCATCATCATCTACGTGTGTCTCAGGTACTGACGCGTCCTAAATAAACCCTAATATGAACTATCTCAGGACCAAATAAAGAATATTTTGTCCACTGTCTTCACTATTCACTTGAAAAGTAAGTAGGTGAGAATTTCTTTCTGGTTGAATAGAAATGACCTATATATATGAAAGTTATTGGAGTTTTTAAAATTAGCTTATTTAGAAATGTTAAGGAAGATAATGTGTGACAATTGAAGCTGCATTTAAATCGACGGGGGTAATATATTGTGATTTTGGTGTCAAAGCCATTATTTCGTAAAAAGTAAAGGATTCAGACTGCAAATTATGCTGGAGAATTTAGGATTGCCATCCCGAGAAAAATTGTAGAAGAGGTTAGACCCCTAAAAATGTCTGCCGTATGAACTGAAAATGCCACCTACATGATGATCTGTCATGGGATATAATTTCTTAGGATTCCTTCTAACTTCTATTTAAGATTTCCTCACTTCCTCTCCAATGTCGGCTTATTTCGCTGAAAAGCATATAATCACCCTCTAGCTTTGTATTGCATCATTTGATTTAACTTTGGAATCTGATCCATTCTACCTCAATTCGATTTAAAATGACCCGATGAATTTATTAAGTCATCAAAGACTTCCTAGTTCTCAATCGTTCCTAATTCTCCACTAATTAGATGGGCCCTCCAAGTTTCTCGTTCTACATTGTTCTGTTAGCCCTTCACATTTTTTAGTCCTAAACTTTTTTATTCATGTTCATTTGCATTACTACTTCTCACCCTGCGTAGGTTCCTGGGCTTCAACACGTTCACGGCGTACCAGCGTGCGCGGTATTCTGCTGTCAAGATCTTGAATCGCCACTTCAGCGGCCCCGCTGCTGTGACAGCGAGCAGCAGCGCCGTGTCTTCATCTCCTTCACACTCCATGTCCTCAGTGTGCACTGATCTCAGTGAGCTCAGTGATAACTACGTCGCCACTATCTCTGGGTCGCTGGCTTTCTCAGGCCAACCCGTGGCAGCTGCGTCTTCTGGTCAGGTTACACTCGACATTTCCGCAAATGTGGTGCACGCCTGAACTCGAACTTGTCAAGCCAATTGAGAAGTGGGACTTAGTTGCAAGTGCATTTTATTTGTGTCGAGTCTGTCACTCACTGTAGCATTTCAATAATATCTTTTACCTGCCATTTACCTATAAAAATGCAAATTCCAGCTCTGAAAGTCATCCTGTAGCCGTTTGCCAGTGATGGCACTAAAACCTCAAATGATATGAAGGCCGACAAGTTCTCAAGCAGACACGTCAGGTTAATCAGAACTTTAAGAATTTAGTATCAGTGTTACACTTGCAAGGATTCTGCTGCCGAGTTATCACTATGAGTTATCACTCGGTATTGCGAGTTTTCACTCGGTATTACCGAGTTATCGCTCGGTATTACGCCGAGTTATCACTATGACCTGAACAGACGCCCTCTGAACTTTCAGTTCTAATGACGTGTTCCCACGTCATTAATCAGTTCTAATGACGTGACTCCTCTGGAGCCTCTCCGAGTAATAATAAAAATACAAATCACAAACTGTACCCTCTATCTTTTATTGGTGGTGAAATTTGTTAGCCACTGGGAAAATCTGTGATTCTAAAAGGGTCGGTTATTAGCACTTAGTGTTCTTAATTTAATAACGGTAAGGTATGCATAGTGTTCGGCCCGTTATTAATGAAGTGTTACAAGCCCCTGTTATTTTCGAACTGTCAGGAGGTGAATCAACGGAGCACGTGATCCTTATGACTAATAAAAATCTAATTAAATTGTTGAACAAGTAATTGCTTTTGGTAGATTTTTGACATTCTCACATTGAGAAGATACACGAGACTATACATTATTCATTGCCATGTACTCCCACTCATCCTAACTAGCCCAATGTACTGTAGCCGAAGTGTTCGCCACCAATACGATTGTGGATGGCATCCTTGCGTTACGTCTTCATCTGTACCACTGCCGAGTACTGATGTCTGAACCTGCAAATGTTTCTGGGCAAAGTCAATGTTCACTCTTTAACGTATGATTCTTTTTACTTCCTTAGTTGTACTATTTACCAATTTAACGAAAGTAAGCCAAAATCTAAACTTATCAATTAATTAGTGTAACTGTACGTAGTTGTTTTCGTTTTGTGAAATTTTACCTTTTATATTGTTTTTTGGTATTTCGTTGTCTGATCATGACAGTTCTTAGTTGGCCGCCACTTAATGTGTGATGTGGGCGCTACTTATAAAAAAATCTTAGTTATATGTAACTATTGGCCGGCTTGCTTGATTCAAGCCTGACTTTTGATTTTACGGTGATTAAGTTATTGATTTGCAAGTCATTGGAATATTGGCTCCATAGGTCATTTAAGTCCTTGTGTAAAGACCTGTGATTATCGGAGTTCTATCATATATTATTTTGTCGCGTCGTTAGAAGACGTCTATTTTGTGGGAAAAAGAAGTTGCTTTTTGTTGACCTCGCGTCTTTGAATGTAGTACGCCCCTTTTACCAATCTCCCATGTAGCGTTGTTTTGAACCCTTCAATGATGCACGTTTATTTGACCTTTCTCCCAAGCGGCGGTTATGTTAACTATGAATGATGTACGTTTTTTTGATCCGTCTTTTATATACCGTTATTTTCGTGCATTGGAAACCTTCAGACAACAAAAAACCAACAAACGATTATTTGCAAATGACGTCACGTCTATCATTGAAGTCATAATTATTCTTTCTATCCTCACTAATGCGCGCTCCATATCCGTCCATGTGTTGCTTTCAGCCTCTGGTGTTTCCCATGTATCAGCTTTCTTTGCTTCATGTCTTTAGCTCGAATTTCTAATAGTCCTTTCGGTTCCTGTCTTTTATGTTTCGGAATTATTCAACTTCTTTTTCGTAACGTTCATTTTCAGACTGTTGACTTCGCTCTATCATTTTCCCAAAAGTTTTCATGCATGACGCATTGTAACAGCTGTAATAATAGGTAGTTTTCGTGTTCATGGTAGAATGTTTTTATTACTGCCTGTTCCAGAGAGCTTCAAGCTACAACTTCTCCAATTTATTATCCATTCCTTGACATGGATTTACTAAATCTCTAGCTATGTGGCTGGTAATGGTTATTATTTTGATTTTTGTAATTCTTTAGTTGAAGTTTCCATTATCGGACTTATTTAATGTCCTACAGAGTTGGCCACTATTTTGCGTATAATCTTACTAGGTATTTCTCAGTGTTCACTATATTCATATTATCGCGTCCTCACTCCTATATCGCGTTGTGCTGCCTATGCTGACCTATTGTTTATTCCTTGTGCTTTTTGACTCCATCTGTGTCTTGCGATCATACCGCGTTGAGGCCAAATCGACTGCATTGGAGATCCCTGGCTTTGAATCATAAGTTGAACTTCTGACCTATTCGTGCATTGCATTTTTCATCTACGCTCTGTAATAATGATGTCAATTTTTGTGTGATGCGTTAACATATTTTCTAGGGTTACTTGTTCTCTTTAGACTGCACCCTAATTTCTCTATTAGCTTTCGGGCATTTCTCACTGTATGTGTGTGGGTATGTTTTAAACATTATCGGTATTTTTTTTTTCTTCATTGATACCCTGTTATTTTTCTCTGTAAATGGAGCAGTTACCATTCCATCTCGAGTTCTACTCTTTGACTGCCATTCAAGTTTGATTGTATTGCAATGTTGCTGGTCTCCAGAACCATGCATATGTCGAAAATGTTCTTGTAATTGATGCTACTTGCTTAAAGTCTCTGTAGCATTGCTTGTCAACATCCGCGTGAAGAATTGAGCTGCCTGCTCGATGATCAGCATCACCGAATTAACTCTATCTTCGTTGTCGTAATCTGCTATTGTCGGGCCCACGAGGTCGTTTTAGACCCCATGATGAAGTCAAAATAATTGACGAAAAAGCCTACAACTCGTTCGAGAGTTTGATCGTAAATTAAGTAGTCTCGTGCGGCACTCGAGCAGTTAGCTCTTCACTGTCCAAATAAGTCTAATTTATCCATTTGTTTCGGTACAATTCTCTTCTGAGCTTTGGATTAGTCGGGCTGTGGAGGGCTAAGCTCCTGAACTACACAACGCTGTACAATTGCTTTATTTTTTCAATGTATCCTAAATCGAAGCTTAGCTTTATGATTGGAAGCACATCGCTACAATTCGGCTCTGTGATTTAGTGCAAGATTATTTTATTCGCTTTGTTACGTGGTCTGTGATTATCTTATTGACCGAATGTATTACTTGATACGCAAGTGATACGAGTGATTACCCAACCTAGAAATAGAAACTATGTATAAAATTTGCTATGGACTAGGTGGTTAGCCTTCCTCTTATTTATTCGTGTCGTTTGTAGTTGACCCCGAGAGAAAATCGTACGTTTTTCTCTGGAATATTGTTCCTCTATTTGAATCATATCCTTCGTGTGTATTTATTCGTATTAAGCTCTTGTATTGGTTGCTATGTAGCTCATGATTTTGTTCAGTGCCCTAAGCACTGACGGACAGAGTGTCCACCGACCACGGCGGGTGTCCTAGGACGCTATACCGACCGTTGACCAAATAATTGACCATTTTTTTGGTTGACCCTTGACCAAAAATGATTTATTCAGTTCGCATTCTCATAAAGCATTTTATGACAAAACGTTTGATTTGTGTTCAGTGGAGTTATGAAGAACTTTTATTCACCTTTTACGTTGTTTTATAGAGCTAATAGAGGCTAATTTAACCATCATTGTGACCTCCCGGCTCACGCATTTACTCACTTATTCGTTCGATTAAAATTCCAAAGTCTGTGTGAAACTTCAATAATATGAATCTTTCTTGAGAGTGCGTCGAGAAGAAACTTGTTTGCTGATATAAACTAAAATGGTCCGTTAACTTGAAGTGTAGCTGGTCCTGACATGTCTCAGGACTCTACTTATGCTTACTCTTCTTAAATGCTACACTTCTCGTCCGCTGCTAAAGATCCTCTGAACTTTGCTTGTGTGAAACCAGCAAAAATATAATGTGGCTAGTGCACCATTCTGTCTTGAATAATTAATCTTCTATTATTCCGACACAACCCAGATATCCGCTTGCAATTTCTGTTTTATTATTCTACACAGTTTTTTAGATACGGCATATTTTTTGGTGTATCTTTTTGACTTAGAGGTGATGTTGCAAGAGTTTTCTTTTTATGTATATTTTGTGGTTCAAAATATGATGCTATATTATATACCGATAAGGCCTCTACCATTGCATTAGGTCGTTAGGTTTACTTGGATCGTCCTCACATGGTAACCATAGCGTGAAGTCTTTGAATTGTAAGCGATTTGCCTTCCCAATGATTTACGTGATTCAGCTATTTCGTGATCGATATTTTCAATTCATACGATAACGAAAATAAATCATGCCTTCTCAGTTACTGAAGTGAACACCAATAACAACTTATGCTAGAAAACATTTAGATCTACCAGCGATGCTAGACCAATGAGCTTACCGATGTGACAAGAAAGTTATAATCTCCACGAGGTCTACTCACGCAAAGTGGCCTCTTTTTTTTTCCTTCGCACCTCATCAATGTCGCCAAAATCACAACGGGTGTAAAGTTGTGTAGGACTTGCTAATTTCCTATCAGTTTTATGCACAGATTGGGTTTATGTGACAAGTAAAGTTTCGATTAAGTTCTTAGATGCATGAAGGCATCATCAAAATTTATTATTGATATTTGTAAAAATGACTCGCTAAAATGCACCACTCTTCGCTGGAGAGGCTGCGCAGTCTTCGACTTAACCGCGCTGTGGGATGATCTTCATGGTCTTTATGTTACTGTTAGTTATTCTTGGCTACGTTTGCTAGTTGCGACGCAATTTACTTAATCAACACATTCTCTCATTTTATTTTATCCTTCGTTATTACTTGTTTCATCTTGAAGGCCTTTAAAACTTGCTCGGTAAGATCAGACTTGTTCTCATGTATACCTAGCGTAGTTCTAAGCTAGGGTGGTACATCTGGCACGACTACCACTCGCCCTCGCAGCATAAGTATAGCACGCGCTTCTCTGCGTTTTATTTCCCCTTAAATTACGAACGAAAGGTAGTTTACAACCAGATGCTACTGTACGTATTCGGAGATAAATATTTTTTTTTTACATAAATTGTTTAGGCAGCGTTTCAAGCGGTTTCGCTTATGTACATCCACATCTAGTATTTGTACTCCGGGCCAGTATTTCTACCCAACTGTTCAATGCAAATTGTTGACGAACTTTATTTGCGGGTTTCCCGTGAACGACCTCGAACGTCGAAAATCCAAGGTGCGAATGGAATGTAGCGCGTAAACTTTCATACGAAAATGTTGTGTTCAGTGTTTTTCTTGTACAATATTAGTCTACGACTTCATATGTTCTTGTATTGTCGAAGATTTCAGACTTACTGGGCATTGGTCTAGCACCCTAGCGTTAACTTTTAGGTGGAGGCGAGTTCGATTCCGGGACTTTACTCGCTAAAACGTTGATCCAAACGTCGAAATTGAAAAGGAAAAATCTAGATGAACACGCGGGCTTGACGTCCTAATTTTCTATTCTTTAATAGCTGCGATTAAAATAATGGAATTGACCGTTGCCTTTAACAACGACGAGTCTGTGGCAGGCGCTGACTAAGGCCTCTTCTCGCTGGGGAAGGAGTGGGATTGCAGCTCCTCAATCCCTCAAAGAAGAGGAAAGGCCATTGCTTTCCTTGTCTCCTTGGCTTCATGCTCCGTGAGATTGACGTTTTACTGTCATATTACATCAGCATTCCAGTAAAAACGGTACGTCGAAAGCGTTAAAGGTTGATTGCGATGGGCAGCAGTTGAGTATCGTTGCCAGATTATCTTCTTTTATGCAGTAGATATGTTTTGAAGTAATAATAACTAATTAACTAACAAAATCCTTAAAATTTTTGCGTACCATCTGTAAGGCACTGGCGTACCTCCTAAGGGTTCGCTTCCCACAGTTTGAGCCTCTGTCGTACTTGGTCGTCGTGGTTGTTGAATGGAGTAAGATTGGCACTAATTCAAAAGCCGAACAGATGTCATTGTTTGCATTGCTGCGAACTTCTGGTAGGCTATTATACATAGCATACAATTTTTCGAGCTAACTATATGTTTCTGAATGGTGTTAGCATCGCATAACAAGCGTTTTAAAATTGAATCAATGAATCGCATTATAGTTGGGAAAATGAACTAATCGAAGCCCCTCGGAAAGCGTAATGATTTGGTTTCTGAAAAATGCAATGAAACTGCAGAGAATATCACAATTAAGTACAGAGAAATAACACTGAATCTTTCGGAGAACGTAAACAACGCGTTTTGTGTAATTCAGCCTCTATTTTGAAGGAAAAAATGAACACGCGCAGCGGTGTCGCTAAGCTACCCAGCACACTACGGCAGGCATCTGCCAGGACGTCGCGTGGCTCTAGAAAACCTACACCAACTGCAGGAGGTGGAATAAGCACGTACTCCAGTCCTTATTTCTCAAGTGACTCGGGACTGCTAGTATCTCAAGATGGGAAAACGACTGATAATCTTAGTGTGGATGTATCGCGTGAATTGTGTTCAACAAGTGCCGAAAGAAACAAAGTCTGTGGTGTAAAAGGCGCCGAAAATGCTTGTCAAGCAGACTCAAGCTTCGTGATGACCAAGGGTAAAAAATCTCTTTCCAAAAGCAAGCCCTATGCTGTTGTCTCACTTCGCTCAAGAAAGAATGACGACAAGGAGCCTATTCCTAGTATTGAAAATTCTGTTGGTGCATTACAGGAATCGTTAACCCAACCGGATGGGAACGCCACTGCTCCATTGAGCATCTTATCGAGTTTAGATTACCCATGTTCATCATTGTTGGGTTCATCTTCGAATATAATTGGACAAAATTCTTCGTCAAGCTCTTCGCTGACGTCACATAATGTCAATGCTCCCTCCGATTCGCTTTCGAACAAATCCTCACGCACTTTCACTAAATCCTCGACTCGTTCTCCAACATCGTCCAATGCCCGAGGTCCATCCAAATCCCCTCGCAAGGTTCCTCCACCGAAGGTGTCACCTCCTGTGTACTGGCAGTCTGTGCTCTCCAACATCAGAACAATGCGTGCTGCCCGAGACGCACCTGTGGACACCATGGGATCAGACCAGTGCGGGGACAAGCTCACCAGTCCTGAGGTGACTGCATGTCATGGCACATTTCAGTGTGGTCACAAGGAGGATTAAATAATGAGTATTGTATTTATTATTATGTCGAATTAATTATTTCTGAATTAATTTCTTCCGGAGCCTCAAACATGAATTAGACTTAGATATCGTAGCTGCTTCATGAACCTAACACCCACGGTCACGGCCCTCAACCGCCTCTAGAGAAAAGCCATCTACGGCCTCTAGAATAAAAAATAAAACCAAATCAGCCCAGCTAGAGATGGAAGTTTGCAAGTACTGCAAAGAGATCTCTCTGAGCGAAGTCCAGACAGTTACCTGTGGACGATGTGAAGATCTCATTTGTATCAGCTGTTCAGACAGGCCACATCAGGCCTACACTTCAGAGCCGACATCACTATGTTATGTTATGTTATGTTATAACTTTGACATCATCGCTCCACCAATGTAGCATTGTTAAATTTGATGATCTTGCTTTGTAATTAATATTTATTGATATAGGAAAAGGAATTATGTGCTTATCTTTAGTTGGCGGCTGCTCCTTTCCAGTCATTTCAAGTTTCGTCCTTTGGGTAATTAGTATTTATACTTCCTCATTCCAAGCAACGGTAATGAGGCAGTTTTATCGCAAAGTTAGCGTAGTAAAAATATACACTGAATGACTATTTTTCCCAGGTGCGGCGGTTTCACGTACTCGTGTCACTCATGCTCAGCAGCCAAACAAAAGATGAAGTAAGCAACTCATATATAGTGATTAACATTACATTGAGGATTTTGAATTTGACATTTGATAATTTAACCCAAATGTAGATTCTCCGCAAGCCAAGACAAATTTTCAAGGCTTAGGAGGGCATCGTGCTAACGGAGATCTTTCATCGAGATAAATACTATAATTTTCTGGCTGAACGTTAGATTAAACAGGAGCTGTGTTGGTGGTCTCGGTGTTCAAGTTTTCTCACAGAGATAACGTCTCCTAAATCATGATTTATCAGTAAAATTTCACCAGAAAATGAGGTCAGCATTCATCCCTTAGTTGCATGTCGCTTTTGTAGGTGACGTACGCAGCCATGCAACGACTGCGGCAGCGCGGCTTGACCGTGTCGCAGATTCTCGAGCTACGGCCTGACGAGCTCGGTCTTCTCATACGACCTGTCGGCTTTTGGAAGGTTCGAACATATAGAAACTTATACGGAAATATCTTCTAATACTTTTTACCTAGGCTTTTCTTGGTTTAGGCGACGTTCTAATCGTATTATTATATTCAAATTTGAATTCTGAAAGCACCAGTTAGACCTATGTTAGAAATATTATGATACTTTCACCTAATATAAAAATTCAATTTTCTTGGTTTTCTACACTTTCGTTAGGAGGAATTTACCTCAAAATCTAATTCATATTTATAATCCCTTATGCTTTTAGGCTTAACACCCAATTTCTAACAGGTGATAGGTGTTTATTTGATGGGAATTTATTATACTTTCAAGCATCAAGATATATCTAAATCGCCTTATTATTAATATCACGCGAGAAGTGCGCACTATTGTAGGAATTATGTGCTAATGAAGTGACTCAATATTAGAGCAGAAACTCGTTAAAATACACTACTTTTCTGTGATGAATATTGCTTTCTATTAATTATTTTGTGTGATTCACTGGCTCCGAATACGGATGGGTTTTTAATAAATGAACGGAACACGCTTGATGAATCAGTATTTTCTTCATTAAGAGTCGTGAGAGCTTACATGAGCATTTGATATCGGGTAACAACAAGCTGACCGAGGTTATTCAATACAAAGATAACGATCACGCCATTCACGCTGATAACAAGCTATTTAGGCTTGTAATCAGAAATTTGGTTTTACGTTTATAGCTCATTATTAACATTGGTGTGTTGTACTTTCCTTATAAGTATTCTTTTTTTTTTTTTGACACTTTTTTCTCGATATTATGCAAGTGTGAGTGAGACTTAACATCAATATATGTAAATTAATGTTGTCTTATTTTTGGTCATACTGCAGAAGAAAGTAGTGTACTTGCAGGAGACGTGCAAGATACTCGCCAGCAAATACAACTCTGACATCCCCGACACGATCGAGGGACTCTGTGCCTTACCAGGGGTCGGCCCCAAGATGGCACACCTCTGCATGGAGATCGCGTGGGGGAAGGTTACCGGCATCGGTGAGTACCGCTCGGGGTTCTGTTATTTTACGGGTCTAATAGAGTCGATGAATAAAACAGTTTATGTGGTATACCATGAATGCATTTGTGCTTATTTTACGGGTCAAACAGAGGCCATGAATAGAATAGTTTATATGGTATACGATGAATGCATTTGTGCGCTAAACGTTAATCAATTATTAGTATGTTTTTGTATGCATATAATGTGTATGTTATTTATGCAGAAATTAGTATTAGATGGCAGAATTTTCTTGTTTATATGCGTAGAATTTATGACCAAAAAATGCATTGCAATTTTCAAGGAGTCGAACAATTCCTGAGATGATGTTAGTAGATCAAAAGGCAGGTTTGGTAAGTAATAATAATATATTAACGACGTTTCGAATGTAGCAACATTCATTTTCAAGTTAAAAGAAACATTGCATAATGAAATTTTCTTGGACAAGTACATAATAGACGTGAATAGGACACAACACCAAGATTTAGAGCCAGAAACTCCCTCCGCAAACGATCTCAAAGTTTAAACAAAACCGGCAGTTTGAAAATGGATAGCTGATAGATAGCACCGGCCTCTTAGAGAACTTTCGCTTTTTGACAGGGGCCATTAATTGTTGCGTTTCAAATTCAACTCCGTTGGCTAGTTTCTTTATACTGCGGAATGAAATCTTTGAGAGGAACTGTCACTCATTTACTTTTTCTTCTTTTTCTTCTCAACGCGTCACGTTTCGTGCAGGCGACTTGTGTACACCTGGCGCAGTTACCTCAATACAGATATTTTTAATTTTCTAACAAACTTATGGGCACACACCATAAATGATCAAAAATTCTCGCTATAATTATTACTTATTTTAATCGTTAATCTATATTCAATGTTTTCTATAAGTCGGTTAATCTTTTAAATCTAAATGTGTATCGGCTTATTGATAAGAATCTTGTAAGAAAGTTTGAGTGTGGCCTCAGGGGTGGACACTCACGTCCACCGCATCAGCAACAGACTCGGGTGGACTGGTGAGGGCACCAAGACCCCTGAAGGCACTAGGAAGGCTCTAGAAGACTGGCTGCCTCGCGAACTATGGAGTGAAGTCAACCTTTTACTCGTAGGCTTCGGGCAGCAGGTTTGTAATTTGAATATAATACTCTTGATTATTTTTTCGCTCAGGTCAGAATAGCATTATAAAAGGTGCACATGTTAATTGACTGTGAATTATTGCTTCTGTGGCTAATATTTTAGATTATTATCTCGCTTATTTGTAGGTTTATCGACAAATTGAACAATAAAACACTAAGCGAAAGAGAAACTAACAAGTAGTTCGTGTGGTCCAATAGGCAGGCAGTGTGGAATTCAACTTTGTGCTTCTTAAGTGGGTGTTCTCAATGTCAACGATTCAATATTTTACGCATGAATTATTTTACTTTTTAAACGTTTATGACACTGAATGAGTGGTTTATTTGGTCTACTGCGAATTCAATGAAAAGAAGTGACTGCGAAAAAATCAAAGATTTAGTAATTCTTCGGTGGTTTTCAGCCAGTAGCCTACTTCTTAACTTCTTTTTTGCACATTTTGAAAATCTGACAAATTATCAGGCTTTACAAAGATAAAAGTTCCTACTGCTAACAAGCAAACGGGATTGGTCGTGTTGCTGTGAACGATAAATTCTAAATTAATTTTTTTTAAATTTTACATTCTTATGTTGATAGAAGGGCAGAGTAGCTAGGTGTTTAAAGTTCGGAGTATCAAGATTGAAGAGGAGAGGTGCGGGTCGATTCCAGCTCTGTGCGCCAGTTTCTGGTCAGAATCGGCGAAGAGGCCGGGCAGTTAACCACAGCCGAATTCGAGCAGCGACTTGCGTGTTCGAGACCGCAACAAGCTGTGAATGTTCTGCGATGTTAAGAATCGGCGACAGGCCTACGGCCTAATAAATGTTGAATCATTTATAATTATGTATATTATTATATGACATGCCCGAATATTTTTGTGTCCGCAGATCTGTCTGCCCATTCACCCGAAGTGCAACGGATGCCTCAATAAAGACTTGTGCCCGTACGGCCGGAGGTCCAGCCAGTCTACGTCTCAAAAATCACCCAAACATGGCGATGTCAATGCTAAAAAAAGTGAACAATAATACTCGTGACGCATCAACGATTGGTCGTGATCGTAGCTCTGATGGAATATTTCATCACTCTTTTGTAGCCATCGTTTTTTCGTTTTCTTCTATACCTCCGGAAATCTGAGTTTTGGTTCTGATGAAAATCACCGCACCTTAACGACTGAACTACGAGACCAATTATCTAATTGTGAAGGAATAAATTAAACATACTAAGATGTAATATTTCATAAATTAACTGGTTTGATTAATAAATATACAAATATCTTCTCGAATTGTCAAGACACGGATTATTTGTTCCTTTACCAGCTTTAATTTGGGCATCACAGTTAGTTAATTTTACTGAGTCACCAAAAATTCTTACGCTAATTTGTTTTCGATATCGGAGACATGTTGCTTCAATTTCGAGACTCAAATGATTTTTTTGCAGACTGAAGTTAATGAAGTTTTCTATGCAATTTATTTCAGTTCTCATTTTTTTTTTTTTTTTTTTTGCTGAACGGGAATCGTTATTAATTAATCGTTTCACCAGTTGTTTACTTGGATGCCTCTTATATTTCCATATCTCATTTTTTAATAAAAATGTACGCCATTTCATATTTAAGTGCATTTTTATTCTCCATAAATAACGTGGATAATATTATCTGCTATGGTTCAGTACGCCAAACGTTCATTTACCCAAGTTTTTTCACCTTACCTACGTGTGGCGCAGCAGCTGCTCTGAGACGTGCTCTGAGACGTGCTCTGAGACGTGCTCTGGGATGTGCTCTGGGACGTGCTCTGGGACGTGCTCTGAGACGTGCTCTGAGACGTGCTCTGGGACGTGCTCTGAGACGTGCTCTGGGACGTGCTCTGAGATGCTCACTAAAGGCTATTGGGATCGCAGCGCTGCCACGCCGAGCGGCAACAACTCAAAAGTTCTCAGACTTTTCAAATATCACATGAAACACGGATCTCTTCAAAAGTTCGTTGTATTGAGACGGTTATTGTGTTTTTTTTTATAAAACTGCATGACTAAACTGATGAGGTCCATACTCATCGCGCAACATCGTTGCATCCGGAGACAATGTAAATGAACACCAGTTTTCGGTTATATCTAACGACCTGAATTTCGTTTGATTTGAGGTTATTGTATCAGTATAATATACGTATTTCACGCGATATTTGACATTATTGCTTGTTAAAACTATCTAAAGTTTTCTTCATTTTTAGTCTGATCAAACTTTTATTTCCTTGCTTTATTTGTTGTTAAATTTATTTTCCTTTGAACCTTTATGCATTTTCATTCTGCAGTCAGTCGAATTTATGAAGCTAGATAGATCAGGACAAATGAAATTTTTACCTCGCCCTCGGGCTTGCCAGATAGATAAGTAAAACAAATGAATCGGATAACAAGAGCCTGTACTGCGGTACGTCGCTTAATGGTGCCTCCTCAATTGCTGAGTACAGTCTGGCTTCAGTCGTCAGCTTTCGTAATTTTATTCGTTGTTCAGTTTTCGAAATTTATTGGAACATTTTTATCATGTAATCAAAATAGGCGTAAGATTACAAATCATTCTCACACTCTTAATTCTTTTAATATGCGTATTTTTATTTACAGTTTCCTAGTTCTTATTTCGACGGTATGGTCTGCATTTATCTGTTATCTTATCAGCCCAAAACAAGCTATCAAATGGCCCTGACCATCAGCAATCACTGAAGTACTCGTCCGTGTTATTATTTTTTATTATTTCAAGAGCACATCTTCAATAACCTGGCCTATATCAGTACACAACCCGGTGCTCTACTGAGCATTGCTTCAGTGGTGGCTACGATGAACAGTTGCGTGCTGTTGCAAGCTTAGCCTGAGGCCCGCGACCTGAACCGGCATTCAGTTCCAATACCCTGAAGACGCTGTACCCGTTATCTTTTTATCGCCGCTGATGTGGAGCACTTGAGGCATAATCTTAAGTAAGAAGCTCAAGTTTTAGACTGATGATCCTATGGGCCTGTCACTGGAAAATTTTTGATCATCAAACAAAGATCTATTCTGAGTTTTTCTCTTAAATTTTTGAGAAAAGGTATTCGACCCTTTTGATTGGTGAAAATGTTACTTTCAACTTAGGATTTCAAAAAGTGCACAGTCTAACATCGACTTTATTAGGAGCCGATTGGTATTTACGCGAAAACTGAGCCCCTATGGCTATTACGTGCATTTTTAAAGCTTTCGCAATGAACACGTTGTGGTGGTGGACTGTGACAAATACCATGAACATAAACGTGTTAAAATCCTGAAGAATAAGACATTATTAAAATAATTAGGCCCAAATTATTATAAAAATAAGAAAACATTTGTATATTTACTTATATATTCCAATATAACTCTATGTTTGTATTTTTACAAATTTAAGGTGATGTGAAATATAACGCGAATTCGGTTTGATTAGGCGTTGCTAATAACGTTTTTTCATTAATATCAGACGAACATGATATATATGTGCGCTATACTAATGAATTTGTGAAATTTATGAAGTGCGATAAATTTATTTTCCTCATTTTCATTCACATCAACCAATGATTGCTTAGTGAAGTATTGTAGTTTTTTAACGTTACGAGTTGACGTCGCTTTTGAACGTGCGGATGCGTAACCAGTTGATTGCCAGTGCAGATAATGAATACACAAATTTTCCTGGTCGTGCAGACTCTTGCTTGTGTATGCGCAGAAAGTTAGGTAGATTATTTTCAACGAAAGCTGATACCATTTCAAAGATAATATTAGTATTTTAATTACTCGCTTTAGGAAGTGATCTTGAATTAATTACGCTATGGTTACAAGTTACGTCTTGTCGTTTCGATAACTGGTCGAGAGGTCGACCGCTCGGCTCATGCATTTTCCTTGTCTCAATGGCAGCGATCATTGTCAAGCTTTGGCAGCGATTTTTGCGCTGGCCCGAAGAAATCATTCACTGTTGGAATTTGAAAGAACCATTGTCTGTTTCTGTCAAAGATTTTATTTAATTCTGCAGAGTTATAAACTAATATAAAGTATTAATATTCGTTACTTTGTTGGGCGCCTGTGAACCGTAACGTGAAGTGTGAATGTGAATTTAGCCTAGCTATGTGATGAGGCTGTGACTCCGTAAGTGTGGCCTGTAAGCCTGTGACTAAGTTGCTGCCGGCTGCTCTACACAAGCTCTCAGGCCCAACGGTCATCCAGTCATCCTTGCGGTTGGGTTGTCCTGTGGCTTTAAGTCTACCTGCGTGGACATCCCAAAAAGAAGAAGAAGAAGCTGCCAGTGCCGGCTGCGTCAGAGTCACACTGTCAGGCTGTCAGCTCTTAGCCTCTGGCATTTCTGATTTTCTGTTTATAAAATTATATATTATCTGATTGTTATAAAAACTACTAGGTTGTACGACTGTACGTTGTAGGTACCCTAGGAGTCTAGGACGGTAGGACCTAGGTCCCTAGCCTAGCCCTAGCGTAGCAGTCAAGCCTAGAGGCTAGATGATAGGTGCTTCATGCTTCAATGCTTGGAGCTGGCCAGCTGGGGGCTTGGATGTGGACCTGGGGCTGGGCTTGGATGTGGAGCTATGAGCTATCAACTATAAAACTTTGAATTTAGTACCAAAAAATAAAAAAAAAATCGAGATGAATTTTTTTAGCTTTACCTGCAAATTAAAATACTCTCTAGCTGCTAGAGTCTAGTGGCTAGCCTAAATTAGTTATTAGGCTGCCTAATTAGGGCAAACACAGTATATTCCGACACATTAAGGATGTAGCAACTAGCAAGAAATGAATGGCTATGAAAATATCACCATATGCACAACTCGAGTTCCGATGGCTTTATATCACTCTCTAAACACGAAAACACCACACTACCTATGCAGTATGCACCAGCAACAATGAAACATCACAAACTGTTGCCATATTTATTTAAAAGCCTTTAGAATTCAAACCTACAATCTAAAAAATCCCTGAATTCTGATGCTGTGTGTGACTAAATTTGACATTTTGTGATACTAATTCTGGCAGCACTTCAAAGTTCAAAAGTCTATTAATTTTTAATTCTGGCACCCTGTGTTGAAATTCCGACGCCCTATGTGAGCGGTATTGGAATACAACAGCTCAGAATGAGCTTAAATTAATAAATTTTAATTTTTTAAGTTTTAATTTTTTAAAAATTGTTTTAAAAATTAACTTATCATTATTTGAAGCTTCATAGCTTCTGAAGTGAGACATAGGCAGAGAAAGCTTTGATCTATCAATTTAAATATCCATGTTATACCTATGGATGGTACCTAATATCATATTGATCAATGAGTATCATTGCTGATACTTATTTTTGTTATATGAGAAACTATTATGATGCTTTTTATTTTAATGTACATAGTTTTAAGATTTTTTATTATATTGGAAAATATTATAATAGTTAATTTTAGTTTTAATGTTCATTTAATCTCAGGGCTTCAAAAGTAGCAAGAAAATTATAAAAAGGAAAAAGCCTCAAAATTTTATTAGTATTTGATTGTGTGTCTGATATTATTTTGCTAATTGCTTGGATTATGGATCAAAGGCATTCAAATGGATTTTAACATTAGGTGCAGTATCTTTGAAATTGGAATAACTTATGATTTTTCTAGTTTCTAGGGACATGAATACATTATAAAGGAATTATAAATGATGTACGCCATATCTTTGGGGGCCAACGTGATGGGGTTCCCGCACAGCGGCCAGCGCTCCACCCTGAGGCCTGACCAACAAAGTGCTTGGCATCAACTAAGCACAGGACTGAGGGGATGGCATCACAGTACAGGACAGGAGAGCCAGCAGGCCATCATGGCACAGAACAGGAGAGCCAGCAGGTCGTCATGACACAGGCGGGATGGCGGGGCTTTATGGCAGGAGGGATGGCAAAGGGTCATGACACAGGAGGGTTGACGTGGATCATCTTGGGACAGGGTATATGGCACAACGTCACAACACAGGAGAGATGCCAGGGCACCATGGCACAGGAGAGACTAGGGCATCATGACTCAGGAGGGATGGTGGAACATTAGGCTCAGGAGAGATGGCGGAGTGTCATAGCAGAGGAGGGATGGTGCAGAGAATCTTGGCACAGGAAATACAGTGCAATGTCACAACACAGGAGAGATGCCAAGGCATCTTGGCACATGAGAGACTGCAGGGCGTCATGGCACAGGAGAAATGGCGCAGCATCATGGCACAGGAGAGACACCGGGGCGCCATGCTGCAGTTTTCCAGAAAAATTGATGCAGGAGGGTGCAAAGGATGCAAACTCCTGCCACAAACCTCTCTTGCTAGACATTCTTTGGCATTATGCCCCTAGAATTGTATAGTATTATTCCATAGTCTATCCATTACAAGCAGCATAAAGTATAGGTTCTTTTATACAAGGAAAATATTATCAGATGTTCAGCTGCCAACACTAACCACTTCTAGCACTGATACTGCACTATACTAGGCCAAACTAGGTAAAGATGACTCACACAGCACGAAAAGTGAATTGCTTTTTGGACAGTCTCCCTCATTTCTCTGAGTGTATGTCTGAGAGGTGCTCCATGCAGAAGGGCTCTCAAAAAACCAGGAATCTCTAAGTGAACACATTAAATGCTATGAAATGCTATGTAATTTGTATGAAGTGCAATGTATTGAAACATAGAACACAATTTCAGCAAATGAACAAGATACTGCTTCAGGAGCACACCTCAACATCACTACTGCCAAGCTGAAGTTATTCCAGAAACTCCTTCTATTGCTCCTTCAGCAGTGGGTCATTGATGTCCAGCAGAGAGTATTGTTCATTAATTCTAAATTAATCCCTGACCAGCTCATAGGTTCTGTTCCAAAGTTCAGGTAGAAGAATGCCATTGCAGATCTGAATTTATCTGTTGCTGTCAAAAAATTATCCTATGTGCATTGCCCTTGCTAAGAACTTCAGTGACAGTCACTGTCAGCCTGCAACACATCAATTTCAGCAGCCTGAGCCTGCTGAAGTTCTAAACAGTTAGCCATTAGTCCAGTACTCTTTACTTGTTAGCATTCATGGTTACTTATTTAAAAAAAAATACCATCAAGTTGAATCAACTCAATAATTTTGATAAAGGTTTGGTGTCAAATTGGCAATTTTAACTGGGCAGCCACAAATAGTATAATTAAAATAATCATTAACATTGAATTCAATTCAAATTAAAAATTGTCCCTTATCCATATTCAATCACAAATTGATTTAATTATTATATTGAAATGTTATTTACATAGCAGTAGTTACGTACTTGGTAATTAGTTAAGTTGGTTTTGTGGAATGATTGACTTAGACTGATACACTTCATTAGCATTTCCATTTAAAGATGAATAAAAAAACTTAATTGGAGGGCACATGAAGATTGATGACAAACTTCTTCACCATCACTCTATCGTTCACTATCAAAAGAATCTAGTGACTGAGAAATTGAGAAGGTAGTTAGTTGGTATTAAACGAGCAGATAATATTTTGCAGTTAATTATAGTTCAAGATAAGTAACATTACAAATCAAACTGTTAATGCAATTTAGACAGTAAAAAGGTGGATTTTCTAAGCTTGAAACTGCATTGAACACTTATAAAATATCTGAGTGGTCTTAAGTGGCATCTGTGCAGGAAAAGTAACAACTTAGTAGTCTTACATGTTAGGAAAGACCAAGTTAAATTTGTTGAGATTTACTAATATTCTTGTATTTTTCTTTAGTATAGGTAAGAGAGAGGAATTGTTTGAAAATTTGGCTGTTGAAATTGTTGTCAAAATGGGTGATGTTGGTGTCTCAGTTGCTATTGGCCTTATAAAAGTAGGAGTGTTCTTTTATGATGTTATTTCCTATCCTGTCTACGCCATCCTACAGCGACCATGGCAGAAACGCAGAGCCATGAACAAAGACAGAGTAAGTCTTCAAAATACATTGGTAGTTAGTTGCAACAGATTGCTTGGCAGAAGTTAATGCTTATTGTTGTGTTCTTGCAAAATGCATGCTTTTATTATGATTTGATACTTGCTTAGAAACATATTCATATATTGTAAAATATGTATGCTATTAGTTACCCATTAAAAAGACGAACATACCTGTCAAAATAGTTGATTAGTTTTCTTCTTTTGGTCCTTATTTGTGTTATTCCAGTAGAGCAGAAAATAGTTTAATCAGACCTTGGGATATCTCATTAGCATCATGATGCATATCTTTGGGATGAAAGTGAGGGGCAAACCTCCAACTTGCTCCAAGGGAGGCCAATCACATGCAAATTGACTTTCATTTTTGTACATGTTAAATTTACATATAATCTGTTTGGTTTAATGTACAAACATTTATCATCATGAGGTTGCTGGAATATTTTTCATTAACACACAAAACTTTTTCTTTCCTAGGCATATACAGTTCCAACATCAGATGATGAACTTTGCTACAGAGGAATTCAGCCTGTCACAGAACTGCAGGTGGAGTTCAAGCGGAACAAAATCACAACTCTGAGAGAAGCTCTGGACTATGCATTCAAAAAATATGCAGAGAAGAAGGCATTGGGGACCAGAAAGATATTGAGCGAGTTTGATGAAGTTCAGAAAAATGGAAAAGTTTTCAAAAAGGTTGTTTACCAACTCAAATGATTAATCCTTTTGTGAATTGTGAAATTTGTCCTTTCAACTCATGAATATTTGCTTCTTATTTTTGTCAACTCTGAATTTTTCTTTGATGTATGGGTCAAGTTGCTAACATATTTGTAAGAAAAAGATATATACATATACAGTGGGGGGAAATAAATATTCGTACACTTGAAAAATCGTATTTTAATGTATGTAAGTACACAAACTTAACAGGGAAAGTGATTTAAATTATGTATAGAGACGCATAGTATTCAAAAATACTATCAAAAAGAAATTAAATCTCAATGCAACAAAAAACAATGCAACATGTTCACTTTTCGGGTGAAAAAAGTATTCGTACAAAACAATAAATCCGCATTATTTTAATTTAATACTTGGTTGAATACCCATTATTCAGCTCAACAGACACCAGTCTATTTCTATACGTCTCGACCAATGATTTGCAGATGCTGACTGGTATTTTATACCATTCTTCTTGGCACACCACCTTAAGATTCTCAAGTATTTTTGAATACTATGCGTCTCTATACATAATTTAAATCACTTTTCCTGTTAAGTTTGTGTACTTACATACATTAAAATACGATTTTTCAAGTGTACGAATATTTATTTCCCCCCACTGTATATATATATATATATGCTCGTGAGACTTGAATGTTCATTCAATATATGTGCATTAATGATTGACATCTGAATTGAGTATTACCGTATATTATTGAAATCTCTGTAAATATATCCAATTTTTTTAAACTGAAAGTATAATGTTTTTATGTCTCTGACCAGTACGACATGGGCGACTATTCATGGATCACTTACGCTGAGCTGGATGAAATGTCATTGTGGTTTGGTCGTGGCTTGCGAGTTCTTGGCCATGAACCCAAAGAAAATCTGATAATTTTCTCAGAGACAAGGTATGAGTGGCTGGTGTGTGCCGCTGGAGCCTTCAGACAAAGCGTTGCCATGTGCACCCTCTATGCCACCCTTGGAGATGATGCTGTAGTGCACGGCATTAATGAAACTGAGGTGTGTCCAACACTTCATAGTTTATTTGAAAATCTTTTCTCTTTACTTTCTGCATTATCAGTAATTCTTGAGACATATTTTGACACAAATTTCAAAGAGCAGTTTAATAATCTATTTTTTTTGTGTAGCTGCAATAGGTATATACCAAAAATAGTAAGAAATATTTTTCCCTGTTGATTCATTCACTTCATCTGTGAAAAAAATGAGTTTTAGTGTACTAATTTTCTCATTAGCTTGTTGTGACTCTAATAAGAACTTCTGCTCGTTGATCTACAATAATAAAACCTAAATTCATGCCTAACTTTTCTCGATATTCATTTAATTTCTAGGTGCGTCACATTGTTACTTCCCATGATCTGCTGCCTAAGCTGCGCACAATCTTGCCTCTGTGCCCCAAAGTGACACGCGTCATCTATTTTGGTGATCAACTGAAACCCACTGATGTCACAGGGTACAAGGAAGGTGTCGTATTCACCTCCTTCAATGAAATCCTTGACAAGGGCAAGAAAGCCGACTATGCAGGTAAAGTATGATTGTTTTATTTTGCACTTGTATATCTGTAGGGAAATTAATATGCTCAAGGCTTTTGGTTTACTTATGTCATGATATTATTAACAGATGGGGTTACTTTTTAAACTATGGCTGCATGTACATCAGTAAAAGCCTAAAGATGATGAAATAAAGAACCAACCATCTTTTTCTTTCATTGTATCTAATTTGACAAGCACACTCTGCACTTCCTAAAACAATACAAAGTATATTTCATGCTTTTATTCAAGACAGCAATGTGCAGATTGAAGCTCTTCTTCAAGGGTCTTCTTGCTCATTGGAAATTTTTCCATTAATCCTGTACCCTATGAGCACACAGCTGTACTCTATTTATTTGTATCTGCCACAATTGAGCATCCAATGTCAGCTCCATAATTATCATTTTCTTGACTTTGTGTTGCTGTAAGTGCTCTTATGGCTGCATGGAAACTTGTCATTTGAGTCAAATGTCTCAACACGCTGATTATTCTCTCGGTGATATAAGCTCTATTTTTTTCAAATTTTTGCATGAAACCCTGATTATTGTTCTTGAGAATTTTATGAAATTAAGTAAAACAGATGTTTCAATATTTTAAACTGTTGGGATTTTTTAAAATGTCAAGATTTCTCAATTTATTATTCAAATGTTTACCTTTGCTCTGAAGTATTTCAAAGCCATAGCTCCACACTCCTTAGCTGCTCATTAATTTTTGCTTTTAAACTTCTACCTCTAAAATGTTTAATGATGTATCATTGTTGAGTTTGTTATTGGATCTTCTCGCATGCCATCATTAATACTCCTGTAACTTGAGGGAATTTTAAACCACAGACAAAGATCATTTTATGCTGATTAAGATTCTTATGTTTTTGTCACAGATGTAGGTATGGTGCCTACATATTTTATACTTGATTTGATAAAATTTCCAGTATTTCGTGATTTATTTCTTAACTTTGCAAACAAGTTTTATAAGTTTACATTGTCTATTCTCCCTTTCTAATTATTTCAACTAACTTTGATGTAACCCTCGTCTTCATCTACACTACCACTGCTGATCATGAATCTTGAGACCATGCCTCATTTCCTACTCTTTTTCTCCTCATTGTTGTCAATGTGTCATCCGTGATTTCATTTTTCAATGCTCAATTTCCATTTCTATTTTTTCCTGACAACTAAATCCTCGTTTTTCATCTGCAGTCCCCGTTTTCAGCAAAATATATTTTTTCGCCCATTAAAACTATATTTACGATTATTTCACTATTTATTTGAAATCCAACACATCACTTTCAATTGAATTTGCAAATGGCTTTTAAAAGCGCAATTATGTATCTCTACCCCTATTATTCTTCCCCTTGCATTAACAAATTATTTAATATCTTCTACCTACTCGTCGCCTGGTTCATTCTAAACGTATTTAATTAACAACTTAATTTCTTGTCAGCCCTTGTCATCCTGACGTGTCTTCTTTTGCCTGTTCAATCAACATAATCTCCCGATATTCTCGGCTGACCCGATAATGAATCCATGCTCCACACTGTCGTGCTCCTCTAATCAATATATCTTGCCCTGACACTCGTGTCTGTCACTCCAACTTGCTACTCCTAACTCGTTCACCTTCAGAACGACGCATTATCGTTGGCGCGTTTCGCTCGTGATCTTTAATTTGATAATTTCTCGAGTTTTTCTCAAACTTCGATGTACCCGTCTTGCTACTGATTTCGGTCATTCTCTGCATTCATTTGCATAATCTCTTTAATGTGATAGCTTCACTCCACTGCCTCGTCCGTTATTCGTCATCTCGTTCCTTTTTCATCTTCTTCCTTATTCGTCATTTCGTCCTTTATTCGTCTTCCTTATTGGTCTTCTCTCCTATTCGTCTCTCGCCGGCACTTCATTATCCTGTCCTTTTCCCCCAGTGACTCGTTACTCTTCATTCTTTTCCCACTGACCCGTAACTCTATCCCCACTGATCCGTTCTTCTTTCCTCACTGACTCATCACACGTCACCACTGACTCGTCATTTTCCTACTAACCCGTAATTCTATCCCCACTGAGTCATCACTCTCTTCCTCATATCAATTCTGGCCATACATATTCTCGGTAATCGTTGCAATTTGCCGTGCGCCCGCGCCTGGCTCCGCCCAACTACCGTGACTTTCCTCCTGCAGCCATCAAAGGTACGACGGCACTTCCGTTCAGCTCGTTTGCTGCCGTGTGGTTGAACGCATTCCTCGTCTGCTATCTTTAACATTTTGCCGCCAGACTAACCCGTTGTTTTCCTAGGAGTAACATGTTTGGAAATTTATCTCTTATGTGGTGAAGAGTTGGGATCCGTCCACACCTACGTAGCTAGCCTGCGTCGTGTGTACCTTTACCATTTGATGCATCACTTTTGTACAAGTTCCTGAACTAACTGATGTACAAAATAATGAACCGATTTGGCAGCAAGAGTTCCAAGCCTGTCCGACCCTATCCTAACCTCATTTCCAAGAATGACAGATAGCCCAATAATTTTCAATTCGAAGCCGCCGACATTTTCCATAAAAGTCTCTGTATGGATGGATGCTCTATGGCTGAGACCGATTCTTGCGCCCTTATTTTTAGCTATTTCTGAACATGGTAAACAATTTTTTTCATAAAAGTTGCATGTTAGCATCGCGCAATTAGCATCCCGTGATGATCAGAGCTAAGCCATTAATACTTGAGTGATATTTTTAGACTAACTGCAACCTCAAGGCTAGTGTTTGATGTGAGCCTTGAAAGCATCAAGTGAAATTCGAGTAGCTAACTAACTGATCACCTTGAGGGTCCAAGGGTGAAGGTCTGCTTCTTCGCAGCAACCACAGAATAGGAGCACGCCCTGGGGATTGAGTTTAGCCGATGTTAGGTTTGCCATTAGGAACGAGTCAGTGGGATAAGGTGTGTAAGGCTGGTGTTGGTGTAGATAATTATTCAGAAGACATCTTATTCAGCTATTAATCGTCCTTAACCCTCTACTGCCGTATGTCACTCTCGAGGAGCATAACTTTCAAGTTAAATTATAGGTAAACTATTGACTGTAGCAACCTGAGGACGTTTGTACCAAATTGTACGCAACAGAGAACATTTGAAAGTTGTCGTACGTGGCGGCAACCATCAGTTCAAGGCATTTTGCGCTCAATAGCAACTTATCCTTTTTGGGTAGGCTTGTGTTACAATATTGCTCCGGTTACTAGTGTCAGGCGGTAGAGGGTTAAGCAGACTGAACTCCATAAGGCTCTTCATTGAATCATCAAGTATACAATATTTAGACGCTTCAATCGATTTTAACCGAACGCGAATTCAGAGATTTAATTTTATTTATAAACAATTTTATTGTTTTTTAAAAGTATCATTTGTCTCAATGAACAAAAGCTATTAAATCAAATTGACTTTTAGAGTGATTAGGTTTCCCATGTACCCATTGACCCCGAGAAGCACAAGCTAAGTGAAGTCGGCTCTGATATCGAAGTCGTATTTGCGAAGAGGCTCGAACAACGCCGTGGTTGTGCTCGGCGACTGCTATTGCTTTGGTCGTGTGGTGATGTGTTGGTGAGGTAATCTAAGTTGTAATTTGTAACCATGAGCTATGTGGCACTATACCAGCTCGACGAGTAACTCTGCGTTGTGTTGCTGTTTTTTTGGCTGCGTTACAGGTCTGTGCTAAACTATGTCTTGCGTTGCTGCAGGGATGTTCTTCTAACGGTTTAATTTTATAGTAGATTACGTGAATTAAAATTGTACTTTTCGAGATTTTTCTTAGATTTATAAGCCGCTTGTAAAGATAGTGTTCCGTGTGAGCCGAAACCACTAAACCCTAATTGCATAATCTTTCTTCCCTATTCATAGATCGAATGAATATGCGTGCATCAGGCGTATTCAACTGTTGTGAATTTATGGCATGTATAGGCCGTTGCTCGTAATCCCATGGTTGCGTCAAGTATGAACAGCACGACGCTTCTCCTTGCTCGACACGTCGATCGCGTCTGTTTAACAGTACTTGCGAACGATATACTTTATTTTTATTTGTTGGAAGTTAGGATTTCTCACCGTCGTTTGCGCTCCGCTGAAGCATCTTTATTATCTTGTTAGAATACTGAATTTCTACGTAACCAAATGCTTTCAATTTCGCTTGTATAAATTTTTAGATTAATTTCGTCGCGTTTTGTGGTAAATTTTGTGGTCGGACCCATACTTTAAAAAAAAAGTTAAGCAGAATTCCAGGAGTTATCACAGACATCGTAGAACCAGGTTCCACGACCGTGCAAGGTAATGTTTGAGTGACTGAGTTATTACTTTGAAATTATATTTCAGTATCTGGCCCCTAGAAGTTTCTGGTCAGGTTTGGAGCTGACGAAATCGCGTTTGGAAAATTCAATTTAATAAATAATATCTGAACGTCGTAAATTATTAACAATAATTCTGTTTATGTACGGTTTTATACGTTTTTGATTATACGTTGCTAAAATTGTCGATTCTTGAGGAATCTGAAATGTTGAATGTTTAGATCCAACCTCGAAATTTTGCATCCGAAATTTACGTCAAAATTTGTGAGATGTTCGATATCAAACGATTCGATCTATGTCGCGTTTTTAACGCATTTTCTCATTTATGGAAAAATGCACTATTGTGCTCGCCATGTCCGTCTTTCCGTCCTTGACTTCTCGTTTTCGTCGACGAGAAAATGCGCTCTCTGTCACTCACTGCAGTGAGTACTGAGTTATATTTTTTTATCCGCAGTTATTTCTGTGAATCATTAACGTTTTTCATTGATAAACGGCGCCATATTTACGTCTGAGAATGTTGGATCCTACCAAATATTTTAGTCCTTGTAAGGAACTACATCGGCATTGTTATTAAAATGACACTGCGAAGCGTGCATTTCTCATTGTAGTTATCAAAGGTATGTTCCCATTCCTTATAATTAACACTACACGCATGTTTGTTTTTTAATATTGTTTTTGTCGCTTTTTCCCCTTTAAGTTTGACTCTTATTTTTGCATCTTCCTCCATCTGCGTTCGTTTTTAGTTGAGTTATGACTATCGTTTTGATTTACTCACTTGAGTCCGTTATTACAGTCTGAGATTTGTGTGTTTGAAGGTGGGGGGCTATGGTCTCTACATTTATGTGTTTTTAGTTTTAAACACAGGTAAGTTGTTAACACAATTTATGACTTCATGCGAGGTATTTCTCTTGATTATTGTGCAAGAATTCATATGGAATAAATGAAATGTGCCCTGGCTGTGTCCATAAATATATGGACACGCGCAGCGTGGTTAAGGCTCGGTGTGTCATGACAGTGTTTGTTGTGCAAAATGTTTGGTAATATACAAGTAATTTACATGAGTGACATTTCTAATTTTAATTTTGACATTTGTTAAATTCAAATCGATAAATTGTAATTATAGTGTAACGAAGTGTCACTATATTCTCTAATTTTATTTAGTGAAAATGTCGTGTTTTTAATTGTGTATTTTTTTCAAAACTTTAATGAATTCATTGATTTTTCTTGAAATAATTCAATAAGGTCTTTATTCCTATAAGTACATTTACTCGGATTAAATGCGCAGATTGGAAGTTTTATAAGGAAAAATTAAAATTTTCAAAGGTTTTCGTGGTTTGAGCGTTCGTGCCGCTACATTTAAAACGGTTCCGTGTTTCACGCGTTCGTTCATCCGTCGCTATATTGTACATGATGCACAAAGAATATGTCGTTTGGTTTAGACGTGCCCCCGGCTCCATCGGACCCCGCGATCATCATGTACACCAGCGGCAGCACCGGCAACCCAAAGGGCGTGATCCTGAGTCACCAGAACCTGGTGGAGTCTGTGCTAGCGTACTCCATTGTGATGCAAGTCAGACCTAACGACGTCTACCTGGCATATCTCCCTCTCGCTCACGTGCTGGAACTCATGGCAGGTTGGTGCTCAGTCAACTTCCTAATGGCATTTGTGTGGTTGTTTAAGTGAAATAAAAATGGCTTGTACGAGAGAAGCTCGCTCGTGTGTCTGTCGTCCACGTGCTCGAGTATTCGGCGTGCTAGTGGCTCAATGTTGCTATTGTTAATTTTTATTTATTTACTTGCACAAAAATGTTCTCAGAACTATTGCCGACATTAAACAAATGCAACCCCTCAGGAGGACTTCTGACGCGTGTCTGTGAGCGTCAGAAGTCCTAAGGGATTTCGCGCTCCTAGGGGGATTGTTCCTGAGCGCCCTACCGCTGAGCTCGTGGTGTCTGACTGCGGGTCTCAGTTGTGGGGTTAAGTTATTATGTAGGTAGGATTCCTTACATTTCCCTTCTCTGTCTCTCTCGTGCGGGCGGCCGACGTCCCGTGTAAGCGACCTCTTGTTCGAGTGTCATAGTTTCTTCTGTTGCTTTTCACCTGTCCCTCCTTGTCACTTCGTCTCTTTGAGATGCTAACGCTGCTTCTTCCGAGCCAGCTTCAGCGGGCTGGACAACTGAGACCTTCCGCCCCTTGTGGGTTATGATTAATTTGAGATTTTGAATAATTGACTTTCCGCCTTGCTGGCGATGTTATATTTTGACCTTCGGTGCGAAATAGCTTGATAGCTGAAGCGCTAGCAAACCAATGATTATACTACTACTAAATAAATGCAATATCACGTCCTGGTCTTAGAAAAACAGGAGCATTAACCCCATGACGAGCCCTGAGACTAAGTTACCTCTTATTTGATGGTCGGACAGAAACGATCATGTTGTTGTACGGGCTGCCCATGGGCTACTCGACGCCCCTGACCATGACGGACCGCTCGACTAAAGTGAAGCGAGGTACCCCAGGCGACGTGTCGGTCCTCAAGCCCACCCTCATGCCAGCTGTGCCCCTCATCCTGGACCGCATCTACAAGGGCATCCTCGAGAAGGTCGCTGCTCAGGGCAAGTTCATCGAAGCTCTCTTCCAATACGGCCTCGAGTACAAGAACAAGTGCGTACTGTCATATTCCTATTTAATATGGCCTAATATCATGAAAACGTTCCCTTAACAGAGATTCATTATCAGGCATCTAAAACAAACATATGAATTGAAGTTGATTACCTCGATGAGGGCAAAATGCACTATTTCATGTTTGAAAATGAAATTAAACGTTGTGCCGGTACTGCTTGAACTCAGCAACACATTCAAAATTTCTCCAGTGCGACCAAGGCTTCGTTCATTCAACTGAATGCCTGATGGCTTCATATTCAATATTGAACATGAGCCAAATGGTTCACTGTACGATCATCATTATTTGATTGAAATGTTTGTTTACACGTATAACATTTTCTTGTGGTTCGTGTGTCTAAATTAAATGATTGTACAGAATTAAATAATTGAATTTTTTTTTATTTGCTATATCATCCGAATAGTTCACTTTGTAAAGATGAGTCCATTTACATGCAGATGATAGCCCATATGTAGTTGAAATTTGAGTAAATCAAATCTTGAAGTGTACTGACGCGTCAGGTGGTATCGCCGCGGCTGGGGGACGCCCATCTGCAACTGGTTCGTCTTCCGCAAGATCCGCGCTCTGATGGGCGGCCGCGTCCGCCTCATCGCCGCTGGCGGGGCGCCGCTGCCACCCGACACACACGACTTCATCAGGAGCGCGCTCGGCTGTCCCGTCCTGCAAGGTTAACTCATCCCACTCAACCTTGTATTGGCATTGGCTTAATCAACGTTCACAGTTCAATACGTTTCATGGTGTGCATGTGTCACCTTTAAATTCATATAAGGCTTTAGAGGTCTGATCACTTTTCCCTTTCCTTTCGGATGTTGTGCCAGGTTCCAAACATTGTACCTTGGATGCATGACAACTCACAAATATTGTTTCAAAGACTTTAATCGCGTCATTTGAAGTGTAAGAATATTCTTGAAATTTTCTTGAGGTCATGTTCTTTTGAGATATTTTAATAACGTTTTATTGGTAATGCTTACAAGGTCACATGCTCGGAAGTATCTGTTTTGCCAAGTACCCAATAAAGTGATGCTTGTACAGGCTACGGTCTGACCGAGTCTTGCGGATGCGCGACGCTCATGGACGTGGAAGACTTGAGCACAGGTCGCGTGGGCGCGCCGCTGTCCGTGTGTGACATCAAAATCGTCAACTGGGAAGAGGGCAACTACCGCTCCTCTGACAAGCCCAACCCCAGAGGGGAAGTTATCATTGGTGAGTTCTTTGTCTTTGAGTCTCACTAATGGGTCCGGTGCACAGGTTTTCTTATCAATTGAATCCAGCAAGGTAGTTCATCATTGGTGACTTCTTTTTCATTCCGAATTGTAGGGAAATGAAATTTCTTGTCATGGTCGTTGATAAAGCTAACCCAGGTTAGAGCGCATAGATGTTTTGGGGCTTAGTTAGGAATAAATACATTAGATCAAAAGATCTGATGTATAAAGATCTAATGTGAAAGATCTAAAAGATCTTTCGAGCGACCGAAACACATTAGATCAATAGATCTTACGTGTTTATTCTCGAAGGTAAAGTTATCGAGTGGCTGAGTGAGTCCAATTTGTGTTAATTGTTACATGGATCCTGGTTAAACTTGATGTCTTATGTTTTAGTTCGTGATTGAATACTCAACGTATCAGCATTACGAAATTTGTTTCGAATCTTTTATATTAGCTTGTTGCTTAGTTTAATATGTTCATTTCCTTAGCACCTCCTGTTATTGGAAAAAACTGAATTAAAGCTATTCCGTTTATCCATCACGACTGAAATTTCAGGCGGGAACAACATCGCTCTTGGCTATTACAAGAACCCGGAGCAGACAGCGCAAGACTTCTACGAGATGGACGGCAAGCGTTGGTTCAGGACTGGAGACATCGGCGAGATCGAGCGCGATGGATGCCTTAAAATTATCGGTGAGGAAATGCTCTCGACGAACGTGCTTGGAGCGATCGAATGTGACTTGTGTAAATTTCCTTATGTCTTTCATGATCATATCTTCCGGGCGTTTTTGTTGAACTAAAATGTAGGAGCCTGAACCGTGACTATGTATTCGAAAGTCTGTGGTTTATTGATTATATTTTTCGGAAAATCTACTGCCCATCTCAGTGTTTGTTCTGCCCATCAAGACTTGCGTCTTCCACCACAATAATAATGGTGCATGGATTGTTCATCAATTTTATTGTTTAGATTTGTATTTAGTGACTTATTAGTATCTGAGGTTTATATTAATTTCGCTGATTATGAATTTCATTGAATTCTTATTTCCAGACCGCAAGAAGGATCTGGTCAAACTTCAGTTCGGCGAGTACGTCTCCCTCGGGAAGGTCGAGGCCGAGCTCAAGGTGAGAAGGCATGCAGTTGTCGGGAAATTATTGAGTTTTTTTTTCAGTCCTAAATATGAACGTTATCTAATACGTTCAGTTATTGAGTAACCGTAACTCTTTGATTTGATTTATTGATTTATTTGTTGGATATAAATTTGTAGATTTTTTGAAATGCTTCAACATTATTAACCTGATATGATAGTATCCCACAACTCTAATGTTCTTCAAATGATACTTTAGATTTGCATAGTTTTGACATTTTAATTGTAGGATTCATGCCATAAAGTGTTTTGTCCCGGACAGGCTGTCAACAAGTTAATTTTTGATACACATTAATGGCATTATGTTCATAAAAGTCACATTTGTCATTGTTCTTGTACTGCTTAGTTATCTGAAATTCTTAATGTATGTGGTAACTGAACATTAACGTTCAATTTTTCATGATATTGTTCACGATTCTCTAGAATCTAATTAGTTTTATATTTTCATTAGGTGAGCCCCCTGGTTGAGAACCTGTGCCTGTACGGCGACCCCAGCCGCAACAACACCGTGGCAATCGTGTCGCCGTCGGTGCGAGCGCTGCGGGAGGTGGCGGCCAAGCTTGGCTTGCCTAACGACGCGTCCGTCGAGACGCTGTGTCAAGACCAGGGCGTGAAGGCAGCCGTGCTTGAGGATCTTGCAGCCACGGCGAAGAAAGGTGGGTGTTTCGGAGTAGCAGGAACAGAAGGTGTTTAAATGTAGTATAGAAAGGTGTGCGTTTCGGAGTAGCAGGAACAGGAGGTGTTTAAATGTAGTATAGAAAGGTGTGCGTTTCGAGGTAGCAGGAACAAGAGGTGTTTAAATGTAGTATAGAAAGGTGGGCGTTTCGGAGTGGCAGGAACAAGAGGTGTTTAAATGTAGTATAGAAAGGGGGGCGTTTCGGAGTAGCAGGAACAAGAGGTGTTTAAATCTGGTATAGAAAGGTGTGCGTTTCGGAGTAGCAGGAACAAGAAGTGCTTACATGTACTATAGAAAGGTGGGCGTTTCGGAGTAGCAGGAACAAGAGGTGTTGGAATGTAGTATAGAAAGGTGGGTGTTTCGGAGTAGCAGGCAACTAGAGGTGTTGAAATGTAGTATAGGAAGTTCGGCGTTTCAGAGTAGCAGGCAACTAGAGGTGTTGAAATGTAATATAGAAAGGTCGGTGTTTCGGAGTAGCATGTAACTAACGGTGCTTAAATGTAATAGAGGAAGGTGTGTGTTGTGGAGTAACAGGCAAAAATAGGTGTTGAAATGGAAAATAGAAAGACGGGTGTTTCGGAGTAGCAGGGAACAAGAAGTGTTGAAAGGTGAGTGAGAAATCTGCGTTTACAAGTGGCAGTGAAGCTGGGCACTTCAACGTGGAAAAACCTAAGCAGCGTTTCTTTGTGGCGAAGGAAAATATTCATGTCCTCAAGAATAAACGAGGGCAAAAAAGCTGTTTAAATTTTTAGCCTTATACGGACGTGCAGTGCATTGCACATGATCGAACCTGAACATTAAAAAAATGAAATGATGTTTCGGGCGATATTTACTAGTTTTGTCCCATCTGCAGGCCCTTTTGTCTCTTCAAATTATGGATTTGTTTTTCCAATAGCAACAACCCGCCGTGAATAACCTTCGTACGAATTACTTCTTGAGATTATTTAAATCGTGACACCTATTACGAGTTAGGTATCACTACGTTTCTCGATATGCTGTTCTTGTTGAACATGCAACAAATAATCTTGGGTTTACCCACTCAGGCACAAAACTGCCGTTTCATTTGAAAAAAATATTAAAGTTAATTCAATCGTGAAAAACTCATTTGCTCTGTTCTGACAGCCAAGCTGATGCGTTTCGAGATCCCTACGGCCGTGCACCTCACGCCCGACTTGTGGACGCCAGATAGCGGCCTCGTCACGGCAGCTTTCAAGCTCAAGCGTCGCGCCGTCGAGTCGCGCTACCTCGACGACATCCGCCGCATGTACGCGTGACGTGACGTCCTCGTATCTCTGTAGTGCGTCGCTCCCCACAAGTGTCGGGAGTGCGTCGCCGTCGAGAAAAGACACTCAAGAGTACCAATGAATTACTCCAATGATGTATAAGATTGTCTTGAAACTATAGGGATTTTTGTGATTGGAGAACAAATTTATACATGTCAATAGTGTGTTATTTAACAATCTGCTAACTACGGTATGTTGTTTAATCACTGAACTGCCGTCGAATGAATACCGTTGATGTCGTCAGTCGTCTTGGAAGTAAATTCGGTTCGTCGCATTTCAACAGGCTGCACGCATGCCAACGTTTGTTTTGTGTGGCCCACCTTGATTGGCTAGTGAACTTGGTGCATTTGCATTGCTCACTTTTTTGCTACTCATATACGGATTTCTGCCCAGATTTTTTAAGCGGCTGATTTATTATGATTCTGTTAGCCCTATTTAGAAAGCGTGAAGAATGCTGATGTTTGTCTTTAGCGACGAATAGTTACATCAGAAGATGAATTGATTGTAATGGGGATTGGATGTATAATTTATTCTCCCTATTCCCATTTTAGTCGCGTTAGTCTGTGTGAAGTACGTTGCTGTAGAAGTGGACCTGTATGAAAGCATTTCGTCACAAATGTTTTATTATTTGCTAAACCATTGCGCAATTCTATGCCAAGCTAAATAGATGGTTTTTGTCTCGTGAAGTTCCTCGTATTCATGTTGAACTCATTCCAATTTAGAAGTTATTTCTAAGATGCACAATGAGTCGATACATGTTCGCTTTCAGTCTTTTTGTGCATTGCTTTGGTAAGTTGGTCACGACGAATGAAATCTTCATTTGCAACAAATGACCACTGTCCCACTCACCAAAAATTTCCGTAAATAGTTTGTTTACTTACCTTATTTAATGAATAAATCCTGCCACCCTCAGACCTCAAATCGATTTTCGTTTGAAACAGATCTTTCATGATGTTCATGCTCGTTTGCTGTTTCTGTTGCTTGCGGGACACAATGTTTACTCGCATCTGTTTTGTGTTCAATATTTCTGACTATTAATCTATCAGTTACTGATTTTTTGCCATGTTAGAACTCTATCAGATAGATTCCGGTAATTTTCTTATCGTCTTGTTTAACTTTATTAATTTCTTCTGTGTCTCGTTAGAGTCTGATAAAGTTTTGCTGAAACCTCTTGCTCGGGAGCTGGTAATGTCGTCTCGTGGAACGTCTTACTTTATCATTATCTCAGTTGTCCTGAATGATGTGTCCTACTAACTAAATAATTATATAATAAGTTTCTTGCGTCTACAATAACTTATGTTTACGTTTTTTCTCTCATTTAGTGCATTTCATTATATTTCTTTTAAGATTTCTTCATGTGCTAGTAGGTTTTTTGATTAAATTTTAGGTCTAATTTGTGTGTGTGTGTTTGGCTCTGCTGGTTGCATTGTCCAGCGTGGTTTTTCACTAACAGATTTGTTGAAGGATATCATCGGTGTAGACTTCTGGAGTGTCAGCACTTCACGAGATGCTTACGAGCGAATATCTGGCGTACTTATTTTCGATCTTCTGATTATTTTTTAACAATAGATTTTATTAAATTTTCTGTATACGCGGAGATACGCTGAGTGCCGCTATCTTTAGTTAGAAATATTGACGTTTTCCTCCTCGCTCAGTATGCCTCTGTATCGGGCCACGTGAAATAAGCTTGTCTATTTTTCCGTTGTTAACAGAAAAGGTAGCGTACCCGCGAAGTGATATGAAACTACATTGCATTTGATGATTTGGATGGAATGCACTTCATTAGTGTATGTTAATAGTACCAAACCATCTAACCTCTTCCTCAAAGTGAAACTAGTGATTTAACTTTGTGTCATTATGTTATCTTATTTTGGCCATGATTTGTTAATCTTATTTATGATAATACCTCCACAACTTTTTTTCAAGTTTTTATATAGAATTTCCTTCCTTCATTTCGTAAAAAATGGATAATTGCGTTTCCTAGTAGCTCTGCTGACATTGCTAAAGTATTGCAGAAACTTATTCGTCTTCATCTTTTAGCTTGCTCTTCTGTGTCATGGCCACGCCAGCGTCATTTCAGCTCACATTCACGATAGTGTAAATTTGCGTCATTTGCACGCTAGCATAAATTTGTTCTATCCTCACCTGACATAAACTTGCTCCATCGTCACGCACTGTCTTAAGGGTTAAAATTTACGTTATCTTTACCATTCAGAATAGCGTTTCTCAAATAACACTTCAGTTTCTGCGCCGATTCTATGTATTTATTCCGCCACCTTCTTCCGTCAATAGGCAAAACAAACATGCGTCTGAGTATGTCCCATTTACTTTACTTCTTATTTTCTAAGTGTTGTCTAGCTTGCAGTTTGGAATGAGTTAGTTTTTTTCCGAACTCGTTCAGCGTCCTGTGCTATTTCTCTAGTTATAGTCGTGTTCTAGCGCCCAACAACGCTTGGTCAGTCCGTAAACATGTTTACAAGGTACAAACTCCCACGTATTTCAGTCGTTATACCTGGAAGCTAATCCTTGGCGGGTGAAAGTGTCCTTATTTTATTAGTTACAATTTTAGGTCGTATTTATTTCATCAACACTAGAGGCGTACGCTTACGTGCTTCGATGGACTGCACACCTGCACGAATTATCAGCTGTATGTGTGGGCGTGAGTAGGTTCACACAACCTGAGGGTGCATTTGACATCAATGATAACTAGATATGGCACCGCCAACGAAATAATAAATGTAGTCAACAGGGCATTATTGTAGATTTTTTCCAATATACTGTAATATCCGTGTGAATGCGTGACCTAACTTTACTACATGTTCGAATGCAAAGGTGCGAGGGGTACTCTCGACATTAATGCGCAAACTTTGACTGTAGCAGGTGATAATTTGGGATTCATATTCGTGTATGGTGTGCCATATCGAAAAACGAGATGTGTACGAGTGCGATAAAAAATGCGGTTATGATAACTTGCAACCCTATGATTAATCGTCAACGTTTGTGCTGTTCGTGTTACTTGATTCTATTGAAGAAATCTCAATTGGTCCAGAAGCTTCTTCACAGCAAATGACAATTTGCTATTAACCAGATTGTCGAAATGGATGACAAATTTTTCTGTATTAATAAAAACTGTATCTGATATTAGATTATTTTTCTCTCCTGTAAATGACAGCATAGATCAATGCTATGGACAGATACTAGTGTTTTAGAAAATATCTATACTACCAGTAAACATTTCTTTAGTTTTGATGAACAATGGTCTAGAAGCAACATCTCAGTGCGCAGTAAAGGATCTCATAACATAATATAGTGATGTCGGCGCTGAAGTGTAGGCCTGATGTGGCCTGTCGCCGATTCTTTTACATTTCGTGACTTGTTCACAGAAGATCTAAAATCGTGTCATTTGACCGGATCTTTTCATGACTGACAATAGTTTGAAATAGCTACTCGACTTCCACCGGGTTCGATATGATGCTGGGCATTTCAAGTCTGAACATATATTTTTCCATAGCTTTATCCAGTCTGTTCTTGAACGCGTTCATACAACGATGTAATCGGGGAGGCTGTTCCACATGTCGGTGATTGGGAGCGAGAAGAAATGTTGTCGCGTGGAGAAGTTGCAGCGCAATTTTTTTAACTTATAGCCGTGGCCCCTGGTGTTGGTTCTTGTTTCAAATTCTAGTATTCGTTCGTGGACCTTGTATAAACCATGAGTATACTTGTTTACTTCAATGAGGTCGCCACGCAGACGTCGATAACCAAGGCTTGGAAGCTTCATAATCTTTAATCTTTCTTCATAGGACTTGCCCTTCAAGCTTGGAATTATCCTTGTTGCCCGTCTTTGAACATTCTCTAATAAATTTTTGTCCTTTTCAAATCTCGGTGACCACACAACGTTTCCAAACTCTAGATTCGGGCGCACGACAGCAACAAACAACTGCTTCATCGCTTCTCTATCTAGGAACTCGTACGAGCGTCTGATTAGTCCAAGAAGTATTTTGGATGTGTTAGCTTGCGTTTCAACATGCTTAGAAAATTTCAGCTCCTTGTCGACATAAACTCCGAGATCTTTTTCCACACTAAACATCTCAATCATTACTCTCTCATTGCAACCATGTCTTCTCATACTGTAATCTTGCTGTTCATTGTTCTTGCCGTGGTGAAGTACTTTACACTTGTCAGCATTAAACCGCAGCTGCCACGTATCAGCCCAGTTAACTTAACTGTCAAGATCATCTTGTAATTGCGCTTTATTTGACGCATCCTTCACTATAATAACTGTATTATAAACTTTTGTGTCGTCGGCATACATGGAGCACACGCTGGAATCGTTGGAGCACACGCTCTGGCAAATCGTTTATAAAAGCAACGAACAAAATAGGCCCAAGAACGCTTCCTTTTGGCACGCCACTGCGCACTGATACCCAGTCTGACACAGTTCCGTTAATACTGACACGTTGTCGTCTACCTACTAGAAAATCTCTGATCCATTGGAGTACGTTTCCCTCAATCCCCAAAGACTTCACTTTACGCAACAGCCGCTCATGAGGAACACTGTCAAATGCTTTGGCAAAATCGAGGTACAATGCATCCACTGGCTCCCTTTCGTCCAGCAGGCGAGTCCAATCGTTCAACGTAGATAATAAGTTAGTGGTGCAGGATCTACCGGCAATAAAACCATGTTGACAATCTGATAGGAGATGGTGAGCAGTCAAGTGATAGATAATCCTATTCCTCACAACATGCCTATCCCTCCTAGGTGCTTATTGGTATTTCCATTTGCGGGATGCAGATTTATGCATGGTTAATACCGGTAGGACCTTTTTACGCATTCTTGTTCTGGGCGGTCATGGCATAATATTTGGGAAAACAAATTTCACAGTATTCGTAGTATATTCTAAAATGTTACAAAGTATCACAGTTAGATATGAATCGCGATGCTCTCTTGGCTGCGAATCAAATCGATTGTTCGTTTCTGATGCCAACGCATCATTAACAGCATACAAAAGTATAGTTATTATCGTAATTCTGTGGTCACCACCAGGTCTTCAAAAGTGGGGGTTGGAGGCACAGCCTGGACACGTGTGGACGGTGTCATGCAGGAAAATGTCGCAGTCTACACAGAAGAGCTGCTTACAGCTGCTGCACCGGTATACCTGAGAAACAATTTAGCTTATGAGATAAAAATTTTAAGCGGAAACAAAGCCAGATGGTCGATTCAAACTTCCGTGACGGTTATAATTCTGATTGATTTAACCATGTTGGATTTACAACGATTATGAGCGCTTGGCGTGACTAGGAACATAGCTCAAGAAGACATGTTTGCAATTGAATAATTAAGGAAAAAATTAATTGAATATCACGAATATTATAGGTTAATTCATAAACTCTTCATATCTCTAATAAATTCTTCATATCTCGGGCAAGCAAAATTGCCTCCCTCTCCCACCAATTCACGGGATTCTCTTTCCTAAGTACGATAGCATTCGAGCTACTTGGAATAAGGTTAAGGTAATTTTGAAGGGTGATAAGACAAGGTGGAGTGTCCCTAATGACTACTTAGATAATTAAAAGATAATTCGCCTTCAAATGAAAAAAGAGAGTGACCTTGTGAACAACGAAAATATTTTACACAAGAAAATTTTAAAGTTACCAATAAATATAGAGATAAATTTTCGAGCAGGAACTACAGAAAGAAAGCTCCACGAACATGCTTATCGAAACCGTCTTTGTCGAAGAGCTTGAAGCAGCCATAGCAGTTGGGGGCCAAATCAGCACTATACTCCTCCTCGACGAACTGCTTCAGTGGAAACAAATGTCTGCACAAGAATTTAAAGCATTTCAAAGAGGGATCAACAAATTTAAGATACAAATTTTAAAGACGTTGTAATTTTTCTCAAAGCTAGATACTAAGCACGGCTTTACGGAGTTGACGAGGTAAAACCATTAACAACAGATCAGAGTTCTTCACGCAAGACTACCTGCGTCGTTTTTCGTTACAGGGCAAAATCGACTTTAATGCCAGCAAGGCATTTGCTTCTTCAAATCCAACTAAGATTTTGAGACAATCCAGAGAAGTAGGGTGCATATGTAACAGTGAAATGCTCCATGACGGGCAAGTCATAGCTGAATCGTTCCCGAGCCTTGGTAACCAAACGTATGAAGAATCAACGAGTTAAAATTTTTGAATCAGGACCTTGTCAGCAGCAAATGCAAGTAGTTATAGCCTTATAGGATCTCAACTTTATGGTTTCTGTTATTTAAATGAAAATATTCAATTAATAAGAACACAGTAAACATGCATGTATACCTACTGATTTCTTCCAAGACAATTGCAGAAAAGATTGCCAGCCGCTAACAGTGCCGCACTACCGCTCATGGTAAGGCCTTCTGGCAGCTAATGCGGGTTAACTTTAATGCAGACGACGCATAATAGAATTATTCTAAGGAATTGAAAAGCAAAGAAAACACCAAGCAAATTCACCATATCGATATATAAACAACATCATATGCTTGGTGTTTTCAAAACAACATCATATGCTTGCTGTTTAATTTGCTTTTAAATTCCTTGTGAACTTGCGATATAAGCAGACTGATAATATAAGAATTATTCTAAGCTAATGCAATGAATATATATAAATATATACATACCTGTAGCTCCTGGCTAGGTGGGGCGCCGTGACCAGCATGAGGCCACACACGCGGCACTCGGCAGGCAGGTCGCAGTATTTGGCGTTGCACTGTAAAAAAACAAAAGCTCGGTAGCTCCAGCCACACTCGATGGAGACTTGTAACTTACAAAACAACAGCAACTTCAGGGAAATGTTGCCCTTGTGCACATACTTATTTTCAAATATTTTCATGTCGACTACCGAAAAAATTTTACGCTATAACAAAACAGACACAAGAAAACTTGTAGTTTCTATTATTTTATTATTTTACAGCACTGCAGAGAACTCATTGTGTGATGCATTATTATGACACGACAATTTTAAGAGTTGTACGCAGTGAACAAGGAGAACCTAATTTGCCAGGTCTGAATGATTTAACGTGTAATAACTAAGGTATTAAACTTATGTTATTAAGTTGGAATTTGCTTCCCCATGGTCAAGTTATTTTTGCGTCTGGCTTTAGGTCACGAACGCGTTGATTGGGCAACGCTAAAAAACTGAGCTGAACTTAAACCGTTTCAGTATAATTTTTATTATTGCACTGTTGTATTTTTGCATAGTAGTGAAAGTGACTAATAATGTGTAGGCAGCAATACGAGAGAATGAGAACCTGAGGGCAGTAGTGAAAGAGACTAATAATGTAGAGGCAGCAATACGAGAGAATGAGAACCTGAGGGCAGTAGTGAAAGAGACTAATAATGTGTAGGCAGCAATACGAGAGAATGAGGACCTGAGGGCAGTAGTGAAAGAGACTAATAATGTGTAGGCAGCAATACGAGAGAATGAGGACCTGAGGGCAGTAGTAGCCGCGGGTGCTGAGGCTGGGAAAGTCGTCGAGGTGACACATGCACATCGCAGGCTTCGCGTTCGCCGTCACCTGGGGTAAGCAAATTTAATTCAATTATCTTCCAGGACTTTACAACAAATTTTTAAATTATCTGTACGTGTATCATTTTGATTTATAAAAACACGATTCTGATAATAAAGTGAGGAACGGAGAGTATAAGGGTCAGACTCATTGTTCATCACGGTTTTTCAGAAGAAAAACTCATCATTTGTTATGATTGGACAAATGAATGAAAAATTTGTTGATCAAAGTATAATATGAATCAAAGTTACAAACGATATTGAAAGACACAATCAAAAGGCACACAAGTAAATCAATGATAGCTTACCAAATTTCAGAACCAATTAGTGCGAGTTCTGGTTGACGAATGAATTGGGCTTATGTTCAACAATTCTGATCCTACTTAAGAAAGTCTAGATCGCATTCCATAAACTTGAGAATCGTTCAACTCTCGTCAGACCGCTAAATTCGACAGCCTTACAATCGTATCAAGTGTATGTACCGATAAACTTAATGTATGTAGAGTTGTAGGTATCTATGCAAGCCAACAAGGGTTGAAATAGAAACTCTTATAGCGAGTGAACAGGAATAGAATTGAAACACTACTTTACAGGTGGTTATTGCTACGATAAAGCTGCACTTTACGATGAAGAAGACAGGCCAATCACTACCTGGTGCAGAAGGCCAATCACTACCTGGTGCAGAAGGCCAATCACTACCTGGTGCAGAAGGCCAATCACTACCTGGTGCAGAAGGCCGATCACTACCTGATGTGGGAAGCCGACTTTGATGAGCGTGTGGTCCATGCTGGCGGCGGCTGGTGGAGGCTCGAGCTGGTCACGCACCAGCTCTCGCAGGTGGAGGTCATTGAGACAAACCGAAAATGTACCGCCTGTAAATCATAGAACAATGAACATCAAACATAATGATATTATCTTATTGTTCGTATACATAGGCCGCTACGTGTACTCAGGCCGCAACGTGTACTTAGGTCGCTACATGTACTCAGGCCGCTACATCAGCCATTACATAATGGAAAATTGGACACCGGTACTTTACTGTGTCCTCGTAAATCGATACTTTACTCTCAGGATATGACACTTATTTGCTCACTGCAGTGACAAACATTGCTCACTGCAGTGAGTGACAGAGAGCGCATTTTCTCGTCGACGAAAACCTGAAGTCACGGACAGACTGACAGACGGACGGCCATGACGAGCACAATAGCGCCTTTTTTTCCATAAATGAAAAAATTTGCTAAAAAGTGAAACATTCGGCCTGAAATTGGAATACCAGCAGAAGTGAACAGCACTCAAATTAATGATAAAATGATCTCCACTTCCCGTGATAATCAGTTTGATGAACACATTCATGAAAGAACAATAATTATGAAACACTGCAGTGAGATACAATGTCTTAGTTATTATTCTCACTATACAAAGCAATTTAGGTACAAAAATAATATATGTAACATTCTCCGTCTAAATCGGCGGTGTTTCATAATTATAATCTTTGAATACATTTACCATTATCATTAACGGATTATAGTGATGGCGCTAAACATCAGCGTACAGAATAAAGAATTTCCATGATGTTGAGAAAAAAACGAAGTGATTCACTCCAATCCCAAGAAAATTAGCACGAAGAAAAACACTATGCAAATTCAATATAGAGCAGAGACAAGACTTGAAATACTTGTAACCCAAAGCTGCCGTCAATCTTTGTTGTCGTACGTCAAAATTTACCGGTTGTTGAGCTGAGCAGTTTGCAGATGTGCAGTTCAGCAGCGAGTCCCACCACGGATACTCGAATGTTGTTGGCATGGACTTTCTGTTGGGTAACGACGGTATCAGCATGTTAACCCTCCACCGCCGTATGTTACTCTCCGGGAACATAACTTTCAAATGAAATTATACGTAAAATATTGAATGCGGCAAACTGAAGACGTTTATACGCAACAGAGAACATCTTAAAGTTGTTGTACACTGCAGCAACCATCAATGCCAGTCAATATTGTGCTCACTAGCAACGTATCCTTTTCGGGAAGTAGGCTTGTGACAATATTACTCCGGTTACGTCAGGCGGTAGAGGGTTAGTCGTTACAGCCAAGCTTACATTAAGTCATTGTAGCCTCATTGTTTGGATGCAGGCTTGACGCTAGCCTATTGACAAAATTTCATAAAAGCGATCATCCAAACATTTCATACTCAAATAATTTGCGATGTTCGCCCTAAAATTAGTAATAAGACATTGCTAATTTTAGGCCGTACAGAGTCGGCAGTGTAAATTTTTCCTAAATAAATGGAATACTTGATCTTTATAGCATGAATAACGACCACTCAACCTGTATGGTCTGGCTGATCTCGCCAGGGTCGCAGGTGGTGAGGGCAGCGTAGAGGATGAGAACTTCACGCGAGGTGTGGGGCGGCAGGTGGCATAGAGAAGACACCGCCAGCTCAAGGGAGTTCTGAAGGCTTGGCTCGCCTCGACAAGGAACCTCCAATAGCTTCGTCAGGTTCTAGCAATAGTGGCTGTTAACTTCCGAGTTTATTATTTACTTGCTTCAACGTGATATATAGCATGGAGAATTTTGGACTCTGATTTTCAAACAAGGTTAAGGGGAGCGTCTACCCCAAAAATTATCTCGGCTATTTACAAACGGATCACTCTGAAACTTGGTACACATATGTAAAATGGAAAAAAAACTCACATTTTGTTCGTGTGAATTTTTCGAAAAAAATGAAAGTAAACGTGAAATTCATAGAAAACGGTCAAAAAGGGGGTACTTATGAAATCTCCTCCTAGGATTTTCAAGCTACGACATCGAGACACATATCATTCGATGCGTAAAATCTTTATCTATAAAACGACCTAGCCGTTTTTTGAATTTCTAATTTTTGCGGGTGTGGGAGCATTTTTCGTAAATTTTCGGAAATTTTTCGATTTTACCCCTTTCCACCCCCCCTTTTTCAGGAATAAAATCCAAACTATGACGAAATTGAAAAAACGGCTAAGTCGTTTTGTAGATCTATTCTTTGCGAATCGAATGGTATATGTCTCATTGTTGTAGCTTCAAAACTCTAGGAGGAGATAGGTTTTCCGTGACAATAAGTGTGAATGTTGAGGAGAGCGCGACAAAGTCCCGCGCGCACCACAATATGCGCTCAATGTAGCATAGATACCAAACTAAAAGTCAGCTTTAAGATGAGACTAAACACGTAACTGCAGCACAACTCAAGTAGACACTATATTTAAAGAGCTCAGCAGCTAATTAGTTCCTATCTAATTACTTAAAGAACTCCCCCACCCGCCTCCCTTTCATGAAATGTCGTGAAATCATAAATCAACGTAGAGAGAACTGAGAGATGGCAGTGGTACCGTTGGATAGGTCAGAATGTCAGCTTTAAAATTAGTATAAAAACCGAAAAAGTACAAATTTTCAATTTTAGGGTAGACGCTCCCCTTAAAGTTATTTAATAGCTGACTGTACTAGGGTCTTAAAATCAGTTTGATACTGAACGTTGGACTAATTCTTGGTTTAAAAAAGTTCTTCTGATGATCTGAATGATGAAAATAAGCTAAAGAGAGACTAGTTAGTGTAGTGCGTTTAGATGAAGTATGCAAGAGACAGGTTGACAGAGGTTATGTATGGGTTAAATGAGGCACACATTACCAATTTCCAAAAATATGCTGACAAGGACTGGGAAGATCTTGAGGCAGAATATACGAGTTGGATAAAAGAAGTAACAAAACTTATATTAAAAGAATAAAGGTCGTAATTAAGAAACGACAACAGGAGTATTACCTCGAGGTGCTTCAGAGGGTTGTTGCTGAGGTCCGTGAACTTCTTGGCTATTTTGTTATGTGTGATGATGAGGCCGAGCTGACTGATGGGATTCTGCTCGTGGAATTCCGGAACAAACTCTTGTAAAATCTGCAGAGATATCAGAATTAGATTCATATTCCACAATTTCTGCAAACCAATTCATGAATAACTCAAAGAAAACACGATTTCGGGTCGGAAAAACATCCACTACGTGTTGTCACCAACAGAAACGGAAAATTTGTGTTAGTAAAAAAAAAACTACGTCCGAAAAGTTTACCATGATTAATCTTTTTCAGCAAATACGAGACGACAGAAACAAGCAGTTCCAGATTTTTTAGCAAATCTTACCACAGCACTCCATCCAGCACACGAGTTCAACTATCACAGCCACCATTAGACAATATTTAATCGCAGCACCACATCGTTTTGGTCACCTTGACGAGGCAGTGGTGACGAGTTGGCTTGAGGTCTTGTTCGTTCATGGCGCTGGACATGTCCAAGACGATGAAGACGTGTCGCATGATGCCAAGACGCACTCCTGCCTCCTGACGTGCAAGCATTCGCTTGCGCTTGCTGCGCAGCACCATGTCTGTAAACATTCTTCATACAATCAAAACATTTCACAGAGGCAAGTTTGTTTTGAACAACTCGAATTAACGGAGAAGTTATATCACTATTTTTTTCTCAAGCATACGCTGCGGCAGTGGTGACTTGGCTTCATTATCAATTTTAGTGTTCTTTCAAATGCTATTATGCTTATATTTGACTTCTCAAGCTGTGGGCACTCGAAAAATAACAGACAACACGCAACGACCAGATTAAAAAAAAATGATTACACAACGACAAAACGAAAAGTAGAGTAAAAAAACAAAGACGTGTTAGTCTCCTTATCGGGCAGTAGGGATGTTCTAATAGTGCGCGGAATAAATTCAAGTATTTCAAGTGCAACGCCGTTGAGTTTACAGAACGAATAGTACTACTGAAAAGGTGGGTAGATTATAAAATTGGGAGGAACTTAACACAGGAGAATATTTAATTAGAAATTTTCAAACCGCAAAACTCCGTGACCGTAACTACGCTGGACCAAGAAGAGCTACGCAATGATCAATATCTAATACTTATATCAAAAAGGATCTTGTACATTACTTCGAGAGGACATTGACAACAAACGACGTACATGATGCAAAACCGCAACATAAAGTCAGAATATTCACACTGCATATTGATTCTTGATAGCTTCTTCCGCTAAACAGACCTGTGACGGACGACTCGATGCGGCCAGCGGTGTCCTCCGTGACGGCCTCCCTGTTAACAGAAGCACCAGGGGATACATAAACATGTTTGTTCGTAGTAATGTTGCACTAACATAGCTACTTCTTCATATATATACCCAACACTGTTGTGTGAGCACATCATATATTGTATTTCTACCTGCCAACTGCTCTAGTAACACAATCCTTCTCGTATGATCAACAATTCTGATTCAAACAATTGACATGAAACTAATGTTGAACTCGGTTGCCATTTATATAAGTCACTATCAAATTCAAAGAGACAAGTCAAAATTATTTATACTGACCATGTTTTTTCGTATCCACTCTCCCAGCGGTACTCTTTTGGATCTTCTTCATCCATAACTACTGATTAAACGTTGTTAATAAATAAGCTGCAATAGAATGAAGTAAGTGACGAGGAGTAGCACAATTGTAGTTCCTTGACCTATATGGTACATGGTTTTAAGATCATGATATCTTTAACGTCCAGGTGACAATGGTAAATCAATTTCAAAGCTAAATTTTTATAATAAAGCTTTCAGGGTACATGGAAATTTATAAATTAAGAGCATCAACGTCTCATATCGTGTCGGGATATTGGCCGGGAATTGTATTCGTAGAGGTGCACGTGCCTCGAGCCTCAAAAGAGGGAGGAGAAGTTGGATTAAAAGTGGACATTTGGTTTCTACTTATTAAGGGTAAGATGCATTGAAAATATAGGTTCAAGTTTCCGTTATACCTAGAAACGAGGTTTTAATGCGAATTCCACGCTAAAAATGTTAGAACGGATTTCCCTTTAATAAGCGTACTTACGTTTCAAAGTTATTAACTGGATTCGGGATAACGGAATTTGGACAGACCATTTTCTCAAATTTTAGAAATAATCCATCCTGGCCTATCACTTCAATGCATTCTCCTGTCAGCAACCAATACAAGCGATTTTCAATCAAGATCACCTAACAGTGCGGTGCGTTATTTCTCATATACGATATACTCTGACAAAGAATAGATTGAGGAGTAATATTGCAATTTTGCCTCGTTCACTTGCGTAGGTTGTGTAAGCAACCATTTAATATTACTAATATCAAAGGTGAAATTAGGTTTCTTCCGCATTCTTGAGTTTTGAATGGGTCACGTTAAGCCGCGAAAGAGAGCGCAAGGGAGCTGGAAGAGACGAACATCAAACTGGTAATCATCCGAATGTCTCAGGAACTCAAATCCCGAAAAACAGAGCCACACGTCTTACCTCTTCAAAAACCATCATCACGTAATGTTTAGCATGCAAAGATTTTGTGCACCCATATATATATACGCGTGCAATTAGTGACCAGAGAATTTGTCGATTTAAATTATCAGGGAGTCGGGCAATTCTTCAGATGACGTCGGTAGATCGCAAGGCATATTTCAAGTAAATAAATATACATATGTTTAATTGCGCAGCTGGACTTTGTACGGCTCATGACCGCGTCTTCACCGTGAATTGAATTACAATAGCTCGAGATAAAATTCAATAAATGATAAACGTACGCCAGATGTTTGCATGCAATTGACGTCACATCGAGGTGTCGGGTCAGGGGGAACGTCAACCTCCCCAAGCAAGGACAGTCCTTTGCTCCCTGCTGAATATTTCTAAACAACAAAATTTACCTGATCTACGAAAGTAGAAAAGGCAAACGTTTTCTCAAGATCAATACATAAATACAGCCTCTAAATGTCAAAAGCGTTATATAAATTAATTAATCTATTAATTCATATCGACTTTTCTACTACAGACAGAAATGCGGTAAATATTTCGAAACATTATTCACCATGAGGTCAAAATGAAAAGCAATAGATGTGACATAACCATTGTACTACAACGGATCGTAATCATAGTCTGCTTCGTTTTGGCCATCAATGCACCCATGACTGGAATATCTTTTCAACATTTCAGATCTGTAAAACTGGAATACTTCTTTGGCAGCTTCAATGGCCCTGTTGAGTACAGCAGTATATTCGGCAACGCTGAGCCGGCCTTGCTGGTAGCAGGCAACCACGTTCGCCGTGTCGCTCTCTAACACAAACACTAAAGAGCTTTTACTCTCCTGCTCGAAGAAAAAACAAATTTGGGTTCCTCCTTACAGAACATAATCACTTTCAAATTTCAATGTGGTACTAAGTTTTAATGCTGCAATTAAAACACAATTAAGCAGCAAAAATTATAAATTAATTAAGACAAAACTTCCCATGCACGTATGTGAGTAAATAAATTCATCATTGGATGGATGAGTATAATGTAGAGATTATCCTGCAGGTAAATATGTACCTACATAAACAAAAATAATATGAGTTTCAAAATTACTTTTTAAAGACAACACTTCTAAAGAGGCCAGTGTCTCCGATGTTACATATGTACAAAGAATCTTATTTTATTTTCAAGTATTTTTAAAAATTATTTTTTTTAACATAAGAAAAGATAATTTTTAAAATTGTTTATTCCGTCAATTGATTCAAGCATTTTCTCCAACATTATGCAAGTGTGCAAAATTTCAGATTGACTGGAGAGGTAGGAGGGTGTTAAATATGGATTCTAAGATTTGTAGCAGACAAACAACAAGAAGTGAAGTTAAAGAGAAGTGTTGTAATAGAGGCTTCATATAGACGACCTGCAGCTCGAGGGCGGTAGGTTCAACAATGACCACGCCGGCGTGGGTGTAACAGCAGGTAACCGCTGCCAGGAGACCTTGCATCTGCACGCCGGCGTCCATCAACGCCATGACTGCGCCATTTAAACTGGCTGTCAGCAGCTGGTGCTGTAACAATAAGAGAAAAGTAAGCAGAAAAATTGCATTTGACAACTAAAGTAGCCCTTCATTAATTGCTAGGTTGGAAGTATAACAAAACATTAGAGTGGAGAACCGTATCTGAAAGCCAGTGTTTGCAGATAGAGGAGACCAAGCTGAACCTGGAAGGAAAATTAGACTATAACTTCCAAATATATTGGAAAATTCACTTTAGAAATATTATTATTATACAAACAGTTTTTATATCACAACAATGTGCAGCAAGTTCAGTAGATACGGCTAGTCAAAACATTGATATTTTTTGCAGATATCTTCACTTTCACTACTAACAAGGCTTACAAATTACTTCTATCTGAGAGGCCAATCACGGACTGGAGTCTACACCATTATAATAAAAGAGAAATTCATGAATATAAATTCCTTCCACACTCCAAAATGTAAAAAATGCCTTGAAATATGAAGTTAATTTGATTCTTACCCTAAATAATGGAATGAATAGATAAAATTCTTGTGATGATGGAGGTTTATAGGCCAGTTGGACATATTTCAATGAGAGTGCATTATCAATGATTGAAGACTGCTCTGCTGGTGAATTAAAAGCATATATGTGCAATGCAGTTTCACCTCGTGCTCAGACTGCAGCTCTTGAATATTGAGGAGTATTGTGGCTCTGGGGTGTAGATGACTGGCAAGAATTTCTTCAATGCATTCTCCTATGATGCATTCCACATCACGCTCCTCTATTGCTGCTCAAAGTCAGTTTAATAAGTATAAAAAATAAGGTTTAAGATGCACAATTTTTATTCTTAAAGCTGGTAGCATAGAAAATAATTTCTTTCTTAAAAAAACAAAAAATAATGAAAACTATGTCACTTCACAAGAAATTTATTCACATTTCACACTCAATAGAATAACCATGTAATTTTGATGCACAGTAGCCTACATACATATGCATAATTTTTTCATACAAATTGAATATAAAGTAAAACATAACAAAATTGTTCTTCATGCAAGCTTCAACTCATGCACTGGAAATAAATGCAGCAATACCTCAGTTTTAAATAGATAAAATGCCTTTACACTGAAACAAATGAATATCTTGTAATGTTGGTGTTGTAAACTTTTCAAGTACCCGTACCGCACTACACCCAAGTCAATGTGACTATTATATTTAAATTATTTATATTTATTAATATCATGTTGTACTTGATATAAATGTCAATTTATGAAAGCTGGACATAGAAACTTGAGATAACTGGTTTTAGCTCAAAATAATGTATTCTGAATATGTAGCGCCATACTTCTACAAGCAATACAGCCAATGCGGGTATAATTTAACTAGAAAATAACCTATGCAAGTTATACAAAGGGCTCAGGGGGATTTTAGGCCTGGCTGTAACAGTATAGTAGCCAGGTCAACTTTCTCCTCCAGCTGCAAAAAAGGAGGAATAATAAAATATAGCAAAAACAAAATTTTAAAACACGTGTGAATAGTTTAATAGTAATTAATTAATTATACCTTACTTTGTAAATTAATAAGTCTTAACTTTCACTACGCTGAGACTAATAACAAAAAGATGCACTGATGCAGTCTGTAATAACTAACTTGGCTGTCCATTACAAGGACAAAATTGAACTTCCAGATTGCATTTGTTGTGATGTCTGGCTGACACACGACCAGAGGTAGGGCCAGTCACAGATGCTACGACAGATGTATTTCCTGGAAAATTAATGAAATTTATGAGATATCAAAAGTACCTTTGACAATACACAATTCTAAAGATACCCTATTCATCATACTTATCATTGTAGATGAATATGTGCAAATGTGCCCAGCAAACAAAGTTGCTCATCTGCCAATTTGCACCAAGCAACAAAATTAGTTGAGGAATATTGGTTTTAGTTTGCTATGCACTTAAACTATCACAATAATTTTGTGCCATGAGACAAGATAAAGTTACCGGTAATTTAAGTTAGGCTTGAGTATCTACTTATTATGTTTCAATTGAGAAATTCATTTACATTTTTATTATATATGGTGGTTCTTGAACACTTGTGCATATACCAGTCATCAAAAAGGGCTTTTTCATTGTACAAAACACTTTTATTCAAAAAATATTTAAGGTCATTTTATTCATAAATAAATTTTTTAGGTTAGTTTTTAATCACGAGCACACTAAGCCAAACTTTTTTTTGGTTTAATACTTAGAAGTTCCAGGCACTGAAGAGGAAAAAATTTATCCATGTAATGCCACAATGGGGGGAAATCCAGGAATTGTTTGAGTACGACTACAACATTTGGGATAAGCATAGGTTAAGTATTCATTCATAATTCAATGATTCATTATTGAATGAATCACCTCAGCCTCTTTGGTTTGAAGCCATCAGCCTTTTCAATTGTAAATGCTTCTTTGTCTTGTTTTTCATTTTTTAATTTACACAGGACAAAATGTTGCATACAACATAAATTTGTGCGTCAAGGATGCTAATTTAATAGCCCAAATGACACCATTGTAGGATCCTTGTGGCTGACAATCAAGATTACCCTCCTCCATAGACTGTAATTTTAGATTGAAATGGTGTAATTGAAATGGCGTAGTCTTTTGATTGAAATGGCGTAGTCTTATTGCGCATTGTAAACTATGTGGGTGATAAATACTAATCGGAATTGGTGGCACATACAGATCCATGGAATGGTAATCTATCAATTTATAAATTGCGATCAAACCTGCAACTAAACTTGGATGTAAATTGATGGTGAAGATGGCTTGATGAAAAGCCAAACAAGATGTCAGATCTCAACAAAAAATATCTTACCTCACAGTCAGGGCATTAAGCAAGAAGCAGTCAAGTAGATACAATGTACCTTAAAGCTTAGCCCAATATTAGAATTTTCTTACTTATTACTAAAATCTCATAGCTTGTAAGTGATACATTTTCATTTAAATTTAGAATCTTGCTGAGCAATTCTGCATTTTTAGCGCATTTTCTCATTTATGGAAAAATGCACTATTGTGCTTACCTTGTCCGTCTGTCTGTCTGTCCGTCCGTCCGTGACCTCAAGTTTTTGTCGAAAAGAAAATGCGCTCTCTGTCACTCACTACAGTGAGTACTGAGTTATATTTTTTCAATAAAGGTGATTCATACAGTAAGAAACTTGTGGCTCAAATTAAGATGGGAAAACTCTAGTATAGTCTTGGAAGATAGAAATATTTCATGCCAGCAACCCAGCAAACCCAGAACAAATGAAACTTCAGAAATAATCTGTAATGAATTAAAAATATATATTCTTATTTCTATTCATATGGCATGCAACATAAAGGGGACTGTCTCCCTTAAAACTTTTTCATTTACAAACGGATTGTTTTGAAACTTGGTACACATATGTAAAACAGAAATCTAAGAACTTTTTGTTCCTGTCAGTTTTTTTTTAAAATGAAAGAAAACGTGGAATTCATTGAAAACAGCAAAAAAGGGGATACTTTAAAAATCTATCTCCTCCTTCAAAAATTGTGATACAACATCAAGACACTGGGCAGGGTGGCCCAGTGGTTACAGTTCAGAGAACCAAGATTGGAGCAGAAAGGCGCAGGTTTGATCCTAGCTCTGTGCCCCAGTTTCTGGTCAGAATCGGCGAGGAGGCCGGGTGGTTAAGCACAGCAGAATTGAAGCAGTAATTGCGAGTTCAAGACCACAAAATGCTGTGAATGTTCTGCAATGTTAAGAATCGGCAACAGGCCTACGGCCTAATAAATGCTGAATCTGCTATTATTATTATTATTATTATTATTATTATTATTATATCAATAGATTTGTAATGACCATATCTAAAATCCATCTGATCATTTTTTGAATTTTGAATTTGTTCGGGAGAGGGGATTTTCCAAAATTTTCCCAAAAAATTTCAATTTTTCCCTCTCCACCTCCCACTTTTGGCAATATATAATCCAAACTATAACAAAATAAAAAAAAATGACCGGATGGTTTCTAGAGATTTTATTTACGAATCAAATGGTATATATCTCATCGCTGTAGCTTCAAAACTCTAGGAGGAGATAGGTTTGCCGTAACAATAAGTGTGAATGTTCAGGAGAGCGCAACAAAGTCCTGTGCGCATCGCAATAGGCACTCAATGTTTAGCAAGGATACAAAACTAAACATTACTGCAGCTTGATTCCAGTCAAGGATGGTGGGAATGACTACATGCACACCTCCTCATACAATGCCAGGCAGTTAACTGAGCTGCAGCTGAAGCAGACACTATTTAAAGTGCTCAGCAGCTGATTTCCTCCTATTCTATTTGTTAAAGAACTCCCCCACCCCCTCTCTTTCATGATCTGTAGTGAATGCATAAATCAACGTAAAGAGATGGTTTTGGTACCATTGGATAGGTCAAAATGTCAGCTTTACAATGAGACTAAAAACTGGAAAAGCCAAAATCCAAAATTTTAGGGTAGACACTCCCCCTTAATAATATGAATCTTATATTTATGGCCTAATTCAAATTTTGAGAAAATTTTTCAATAATTTAGGATAAAATAAATCTTTTCATAGGTGATTTGTACCATTTGTAAACAAATGGTACAAAAATAAAAATGGTACATAAACAAATGGTACATCATCATTGCTGGAGCATAGTGTGGTGTTTTGAGAGTGATGTAAATCAATCAGAACTTGAGCTGCGCATACGGTGATCTACTTATAGCCATTTATTTCTTGCTATGTCCTTAAGGTCAAGGTGTCAGAATATGGTGTATTTACCCTAACAAGGCCAGGGCAAATAAAATAATATTAATGTTAAGAAATTGACATTTTTATTGCATCCATGAGCAGCTTTTATTTTTAATAATTTTCCAGTTTAATCTATAACTTGCATCCAATTTGTCTTAGTGTAGTGGGCAGAAGTTTCCTAACATTTTTGATAAAAAAGTTCATTTCACAATTAGGGTAAACGTGGTATATTCTAACATCGTGGGTAATTGCAACACTGCTCAACTTTTTCCTTTATATTAAGCTTTGTCTTAGTTCCACGCATTTGTTGATGGTTGAAGTAGTGACATCATACTATTGCGCACCATACCATTGCCGAAACACTAAGTCTGGGCCGTCTGGCGGGAAAATGTTAAGATCCAAAGAGAGACAGTGCACATCACCCAGTGAGAACATCAAAAAATGTGTCAAAGTTGATAGTAGACCTTGCTCTACCAAATAGTGATAAACTGTTTGAGTAGAAAGAATTTTATAGTTTGAGACTTTTAAATAAGTCTGTGAATATATTAGGAATTCTTTAAGTATACTTGTATTTGCTGATTTTAAGTGGTAAATAAATAAATAGATGATTAAGTTGAGAGGTTTTAGACACATAAAAACTAATTTCAGCTCAGCTTGGAATTAAACACACAGAGCTCATTCCGAGCTATGTGCAAAAATTAAAATTTTCTTAATTAAAAGCCTAATAGCTCTTAATTAAAAGCCTAATTAAGTAGTGTTCAATATTCAATAGTGTTCTAATTCCGAGCTGTGTCGTATTCCAATACAGCTCACACAGCAATCAGAATTCGAACACAAGAGGGTTCGAAATTGAAACACTTGGAATTACAAATTAGTAGAGTTTGAAGCGCAGCCAGAATTAGTCTCACAAAATGCCTAATTTAGTCACACACAGGGTTGGAATAAATGGATTTGGTAGGTTTGCATTCTAAAGGCTTTTAAATAAATATGGCAACAGTTTGTGATGTTTCATTGTTGCAGGCGCATAGTGCGGACTGCGGTGTTTTGAGTGATGTAAAGCAAACAGAACTCGAGTCTCGAGTTGTGCATATGGTAATTTTTTTAAAGCCATTCATTTTTTGCTACGTCCCTAATGTGTCAGAATATACCGTCACTACTGTGTTTACCCTATTTTGGAAAATTTCAGGTAAAAATTTTTTTTACTCATTTTTCACAGAAAAAGATTATGAAAAGACCTTAGGAGAGGGAAAATTTACCAGATTAACTGGAATTTTTCATCTTTTTATCTGATTCATGAGAAGATGATGAGATGAATTGTATTTTCCTGATTGGGCAGCTTTTACTCATTTTTCCTTCAAGGATAAGGATTTTAGTAAATGTTCAACCTTATTAAGCTTTACGGTATTATTGCAGATTAACTACATCCAAAAAAAAAGGGTGTTTTTTTTTTGAATTATATGTTTTTTGGGGTGTAGATTACGAATCTGAAATCCATTTTTGGCGGTCGGCATCGGAAAACCGATTTTTTTCACTCTCGGAAAAAAATCGGTTTTCCGATGCCGACCGCCAAAAATGGATTTCAGATTCGTAATCTACACCCCAAAAAACATATAATTCAAAAAAAAATACCCTTTTTTTTGGATGTAGTTAATCTGCAATAATACCAGCTTTACTAAAGGATGATTAGGTATAGATCAAGAATTTAAGATGTCTTCACTCAGTTAACTGTGCCCTGAGAGGCTGAGACTGAGTCTTGAGATCCTTACTAGCCTATTTACAAAATACTAGGCTCCTAAAGTCCTAACTTCCTAAGCAGTGATATGCTAAGCACTACAAATAACAAATGGAATGCAAATCAAACTTCACCAAATATATTATTGTTCATTATATTTAAAATTAAAGAAAGTCATTCTTAAATCTTACTTACCTAAGCAATAGTAAGCAGAGCCATCAGCACGAGATAAAAAGTTCAGTTGAACAGACTGTTCAATTGACATGATGAAATGATGATGATAAAATATGAAAGCTTTTTTTTGCAACTAGCTAAATTGAATAAACAAACTATCCGTTACTATCGTGCTAAATGTACATACGTAATTGCCAAGACCAATCTACAATCAATTTTTTATACTGATAAATATATGTGAGATACGATTTCGGCTAATATCTAGGTGGACACAAATCTATCTAGTCGATTGTTCAATGTTCACAGGCACACGTCCGTAATCGACCGCAGCTCGAACCCCTGCAATTGTTTGAACATGCAGGTAGTAAGCATGTTTACGAATCCTAAAAGTTTCAAATCGAAATATGTGCATTGTAGCCGTGATGGTTTCTTGATGACTGACGTACGAAGTTCGTTAAAGTCGTCACTGTGACATTTTTCTAAAAAATGTGCTCTGAATTATATGCATTTTAACAGAACTTGCAGAATAAAATGTTACAGACAATAAGAGTCTTAAGAGATGCAGATGTCAATTAGAAATTTGTCTGAATATACCAAATGATTCATCCTACTTGTTTCAAGCGAACAAATTATCGGTGTATATACTTTAAATACTTCATATTAATTCATGATGGCAAACGCGACGGCAACATATTGCCACAAAGGTGAAAATTTGACTATATTCCTTGATGGAGTTATTATTTCTATTTAATGCATACATTCAGACACAAATCTAACAAGGAACTGATAAGGTAAGTCACGCCGAAGAACTCGCATCTATTTTGACACACGTACATGAAAAGACCATTCTCAACTAATGAAGGCAAACAACATTGATCAAAAGAGTTGAAAGATGGCGAAATAAATTTGTGTGCGCAGCTGATTCCGCTTGCTTTGCAATTTGCGTCTCGTCCAATAATGATCAGTCGTCGAGACAGGGTTACAGGGTAGGCTGCGACACTGTCCGCATTGATCTTGGTTTTGGGAAAATGTGAGGGCGAAACACGATCGGTAATCCAGGTGTTAATAAAATGCAGTGTGTCTTGTTTTATGGACGATTGCTTTCTCGAGCCGTAGCTAATGGCGTATATAACACATCATCTAGTAACTCTGTTAATAATACTCAGCAGCAGATTGCGGCCTCTACAAGCGCTGCAGCTCCCGTGTCACTAGCCAACTCAACCCAATCACGTGTGAGATTATTGACTGCTGTTAGTGGTTTCCCTAAAAATCAGGGCCCTGATAGAGTTCGACCAGGAAAGTTTGGAGATGATGCCTATTTTGTTGCAAGACATCAGCTGGGAGATGTTATTGGTAAGCATATATATTTAATTGTTCACATTACAGTTTAGTTTTTAGATGGCAGAATTTGTTGATTTATACGCGTGCGATTAACGACCAGAGAATTAGTTGATTTAAATTAGGTAGCAAAGAGTTGGACAATTCTTCAGAAGACGTTGGTAGATCAAAAGGCATATATCACGAAGTAGTTTTAATTTATTAACGACGTTTCGAATGTAACAAACATTCATTTTCAAGTTACAAAGAGCATTAAATATTGAAATTCTGGTGGAAATAAGTATATAATATATGTAAATAGGATAGGTACTATAGTAAAATTTTGAATAAGAAAATCACTCTGAAAACTATTTCAAAGTTCAGCCAAATCTGGTGGTTAAGAAAGAGGTAGCAGGCGTCCAATTCGTAGAGACGATGAGGCTAGCCATCTTCGGTCGATTGATGTCAGGCCACCCGCCACTGATGACAATGCTGGTGGGTTCCTTCAGCACAAACTACAAAGCGAGTGACGGTCTGCTAGTATGGAATATATCTACTTGGCAAGCCGCGACTGAATTTTTTGAGCCGTGGTTTTATGGATTTGCCAGCCGTGATTCCATTTAGCGCGATTTTTGGGTCGGAAAAAAATCGGTTTTCCGATGCCGACCGCCAAAAATGGATTTCAGATTCGTAATCTACACCCCAAAAAACATATAATTCAAAAAAAAAAACCCTTTTTTTTGGATGTAGTTAATCTGCAATAATACCCTAAAATTATATGATATTAGAGCCGCGATATTTCAGACAAAAATAGGACTTTTCCAGACTAGACAGTCTGATTGTGAGATTGACACGTGTGGTTCCCTTGCCCTCCGGATTGGAGGTAGCTAATGAGACAGCGTCTCGGTGCCTTGGTTGTTGATCCAAAGTGTCCGATGTAGTCCATAAGATGAAGAAGTCTACAACCTTCTTTGAAGCAAAGTATAGTTTTCAGAGTGATTTTCTTATTCAAAATTTTACTATAGTATCCTATTTACATATATTATGTACTTATTTCCACCAGAATTTCAATATTTAATGCTCTTTGTAACTTGAAAATGAATGTTTGTTACATTCAAAACGTCGTTAATAAATTAAAACTACTTCCTGATATATGCCTTTTGATCTACCAACGTCTTCTGAAGAATTGTCTGACTCTTTGCTAATTTAAATTAACTAATTCTCTGGTCGTTAATCACATGCGTATAAATTACAGTTTAGGTATCTTCATAATAATAAATAATCTTCTCTAATATAAAGTGCTTTTGAACAATAATAGCTAGTACTAGTAGTCCAAGCGGTAATACATTAGCGCAAAACTCAGCACTGCAGCAATGGCCGCGAGTGAATGGTGCATCTCATATTTACTCCTCTTTGATAATACAAGCAATGATGGCTCTTCTTGTGCTACCTTGTTTTTTTTTCACTGTTAAATTTGAATGGCTAAATGCCCATTTGTGCTAATTGGACCAACATAAAAACTAAAGCAAGCATGAACGTATTAAAATCACCTGTTTTTGCTCACAATTTTGGAAAACTTTTGTCCGACATCCCAGATAGCCACAGCCCTAGACTCAGGTCATAGTGTGACTGTGACCTAAAAATAAAGGCAAATTAGGTGATATACAGAATACCAAGATTGGTAAATGAAATATACCTACCAAATTTTTCTCCTTATAGATAAAATTTTGTGGCTCAAAAACAACGTGCTTTTGATACATTTGTATTGTGCACTTTTGTTAACAGTTAGCCTAGGTAGGGTAAACGCAGTATATTCCGACTTTGTGGGTAATCCCGACACCTCTCCAGTTTTTCCTTTATATTAATCTTTGTCTTAGTTCCACGCATTTGTTGATGGTTGAAATAGTGACATCATACCTTTCACCTTTGCGCACCAAACTATTGCCAAAACACTAGGTTTGGGCCGTCTGGTGGGAAAATGTTGAGATCCAAAGAGAGACAGTGCATGCCACCCAGTGAGAACATCGAAAAATGTGTCAAAGTTGATAGTTGACCTTGCTCTACCAAATAGTGATAAATTGTTTGTGTAGAAAGAATATTATGGCTTGAAACTTTTAAATACGTCTGTGAATCTATTAGGAATCCTTTAAGTATACTTGTATTTGCTGATTCCAAGTGGTTAAATAAATTAATAGATGATTAAGTTAAGAAACGGATTTAGACACATAAAAACTAATTCTGACACAACTTGAATTGGACACACACCGCTCATTCCAAGCTGTGTACAAAAATTAACATTTTCTTAGTTAAAAGCTTAATAGCTGTTAATTAAAAGCCTAATTAAGTAGTGTTCAATATTCAATAGTGTTCTAATTCAAAGCCCTGTTGTATTTTAATACAGCTCACACAGCGCTTGGAATTCGAACACAAGGATGTCGGAATTACGTATTATTTGAGTTTGAAGCGCAGCTGTAATTCGTCTCACATGACTCACAACGTGCTGAATTCAGTCACACACAGCGTCGGAATAAAGGGATTTGGTAATTTGCATTCTAAAGGCTTTTAAATAAATATGGCAACACTTTGTGACGTTTCATCATTGCTGGCGTGTAGTGCAATGTTTTGAGAGTCACGTAAAGCAAACAGAACTCAAGTACGTAATGCACATGGTTATTTTTTTAAAGTTTTTCATTTCTTGATGCATCCTTAATGTGTCGGAATATACCCCATTTACCCTAGGAGATAAATCTTCTAGCCAGAATTTTGTGGCTCCAAAAATGGTAGGAAAGCTTCATTTATGGCTCAAAAAGTAGATGTGTTTCATGCCAGCCACATGCCCATGGCTTAGTGAATTTTTGTACACAGTTGTAAATATGAGATTTTTTGTTTTTCTTCCCTATTGAGTCCCATGAAAAGATTAGGAATAGGAACTTTCATGAATACCAGCGCTAACATGAGATATTGAACAAAGTTTTGAAGTAGGTATATCATGAAATTAGAAATCTACAGGTTTCTAAATAATCTCTTTTATGTCAGGATGGTTTGTGATAACATCCAAAATTGTAACAAATTACATTTCTTTCTCTGGCCTTCTAACAAATGACATTTCTTGTATTATTTACAACTGCTTTCATTTGCAGTCTTTTCCAAGCCATAAATAAAAATTCCTTCCATTTTTCTGAGCTGCTTATTGTTTAAACATTGTTTATCAGTAGTTATTGCCCTAAAGCCAATTTATCTTAATTTTTGTATTTATATCATAGTTACAGAATTTTTTTATTCTTAATTGTTTATTTTTCTAGCTATGAATATATTTTCAAGCAGTGAATTCTAATTTCATAGTTTAGCCATTAAATACCTATACATATATAACACATAATTTTTCATTTGACTTGGATGTTTAATTAGAATTGTCTGAAACAACCATTAGTATTACCTAGTTTATAAGTCATTCATAGTAATTTTTTTCAAGAAATAGTGAACAGTGAAATCATTTTAGGACCATGATGTCAGATTTAACTAACGTATATATATGTGAATTTTCAGGCTAAAAATTTAAAAAGTGACGTTTCTTAAGCAGCCAGCACTAAAGCTGAAAGAATAATGCAAAGACCAAAAAGATATGCTGTTGATTGCACATGCTAATCTGTCGTATAGCACCTCACTGAGATTGATTCCTAGCCTCAAAATTTTAGTATATTGACTGTGTTGAATTATTATTAAAGTGTTCCTCGGATGAAGTTGTATGTTAGTGCTGTGTTGACCACAAATATTTGCATTTTGATTCATTCATCCATGGCTTTTATGTTCTTAATCTAGTAAACCCATTCTACTTTTTGGAAAAACCAGTTCATATTGTCTCCGAATCTACCCAATTTTTTGAATAAATAACCTAGAGATGCTGCACAAGCTCAGTGATTTCTTTATGCTGTATCATATATTTATAATTCAGATCATAACTAAAACAAATCTTTGCAAGTCATCTCCAAAAATCTTGAAAAATATTAACTCCCAGAATTCTTATTCCTCAATGTGTACTAAACTTGCATGTTGTTTGGCTTATAATTTGTGCTGCGCTGTTAGTGACCTTGACGCAGCAAACAGAACTGCTTTGGCCTCTGATTTCCACTTAATCTGTCATGGTTTTGACAGGCTTTGTGTGCATGGCTGACTGTGCAAGTGCGTACCTCAAACCTGGCGTTAGCGTCAATGATAATTGATATTTCAGCATTATTTTATGTTTAATTCATGTGCTTTGTCTCTATTGTATTGAAAGTATTTCATTATGATGCAAATTACTATGATTAACGTTCATGTCGTTGAATAAAACTGTGGTTTCTGTTATCTTGTTGCATATTAAGAGCTCTTGTGACTGCGCTTTCAAGGACTTGCTTGTTATAGCACGGAGTGTTGAATTTATTCATCGTTTAATTGCAATGCTTTTAACGTTATCCTGATGAGCGAGTCTGCGCGTGTATTATTGCTGATGTAAAGTGTGGATAATGCGCGAATATATTTTGAGTTTAAACAAGTGACCACGTGTGAATGTTTTCGTTGTTTGCATTGCGTTCACGGACATATCTTTCACTTGCTCGTCACAGTTTTTCTTGGCCTGTAACAACCAAGATGATTGTAGAGATTTTTAACGTATTATTCAACAGTTAGAAATAAACTGAGTTTAATCGACGTAGGCGCGGGACAAAAAATTTGCATCAATTTAATTGGAACTTAAGTCCTTTAAAAAAGACCAATCGGGTCATTTCTCGCTTACGCAGTTCTTCTTAAATGGGTTAGGCGGAACCTTTGTGTGTTGAGAACAACCTCGGCTTATTTTGCTATCTATTCACACGTGAACGGTACTGAATGACCTGATGGGTTAAGCAAAACATCAGCTTTTTTCTATTGCATTATCTATTCCCTCAACTCAATGAGTGTCAGTATTTGTACCATGCAGTATCTGCATTGATACTACTGCTTGAGAAATGCGCAACGTTTGTAGCTTCTTGTGGTGCTTCGAAGACTCGGTATTATGTTTT